TGGACACGAGTCACGACACTAGACGAGTAATTATCAGAAATGATATCTAATTGGCATATGCTGCCAGACCCCTGATTGAGCGCGTTTGTGCGAATTCCCTTTTTTTTCATGCAGGTCTGAGTATCATTGGGTCACGTGACTTACAACCAGAGGTGCTTAATAAGGTTGTTCGGCACTGTCTAGTACAGTACTAATCAGGGTAATCACCGTCTGGCGTCTAGAGCTCAGTAATGAGCTAATTAAGTAGCTACCCAAACCCTGAACACGTGACCTTCATATTTCGTATTTCATAATCAGAAGATTAAATACTGCCAATGTTGCGATTATAGCCAGGGGCTAGCCCAGGGAGGTGGCTGAAAATATTTTCCTGTTTTTTCTAAGTCCGCACCTACCCCTCGATACACAATTCTGGACTCAAGGTTTCCCCCGGTAATGCGATCTCGGAAGGCAGGTCTTCCCTCTGCAACACGAGCTCGGAAGCGGGAGCTCTCGATACAGGAGGTGCGTCTCGAGAACGACTCGGAGCGAAAAATTTTCTAAGTCAAAATTTTTCTGAAAACCACTTTTTTTTCCACGATTCAGGCTACCCTGTTCATTATTAGCCGAAAATATTTTTTCGGTTTTTCGAAGTCCGCACCTATCCTCGATACACAATTCTGGACTCGATGTTTCCCCCGGTAATGTGATCTCGGAAGGCAGGCCTCCCCTTTGCAACACGAGCTCGGAAGCGGGAGCTCTCGATACAGGAGGTACGTCTCGAGAACGACTCAGACCGAAAATTTTCGAAGTCAAAATTTATCAAAGTTTTTCTGAAAACCATTTTTTTCCACGATTTAGGCTACCCTGTTCATTATTAGCGAAAATATTTTTTCGGTTTTTCGAAGTCCGCACCTACCCTCGATACACAATTCTGGACTAGAGGTTTCCCCCGGTAATGTGATCTCGGAAGGCAGGTCTCCCCTTTGCAACACGAGTTCGGAAGCGGGAGCTCTCGATACAGGAGGTATGTCTCGAGAACGACTCGGACCGAAAAATTTTCGAAAATTACTATTTCTAACAATTAATGCTACTTAATTCATTATATAAGCCAACAAATTTTTTTTTGATTTTTTCGGTAAAAAAACTGAAATCCGGCAAAAATCCGGCAAATTTTTTTCCAGCCGGAGCCGGAACCGGAACCGGAATTTGAAGCTGGATATCCGGCCGGAACCGGATTCAGCCGGATTTCCGGTCGGTTCCTAGTCATGACGTCATGAACCATTCAAGTTTTAATTAATCCAAGTGTTTAAAATTAAACAGCCTTTCTCTGGTAAACTCAAAACTGATAGATATCTCATCAAGCACAGTTCAAAGTCATGATTTATGTAAATTGTAAGGATGTAAAATTGTATACTTAAACGCTAAACGTATTATATATATACATATCACCGGAGACTCGCGGGCGGAACAAAATATTGCACGCGCGTGCAATATTTCATATGTCCCCGAGGGCGCTAGCCCGAGGAGGACATATTTTCGTATAGCACGGAGGGCCCATCGGGCCCGAGTGCTATACGATTTTTCCGCCCGCGGGTCGAGGTGATGTGGATTATATCCACCAGCGGGCGTTTTACAGTTAATATATAATCTTATAAATAAACAATGGAGCTTGTATAAAAGTCAACTCTAGAAAAGGTCGCCACTAATTGTTGTAACCATGGTAACACGTCACGTGTTCAATGTAAGCCAATCATAAAGGGCTGTGTCGTATATAGGGGCTGGAGATAAGAGATCCATACTGGCACTGCATTCCTGGGCCGTGAGAATAATGAATGTAATGTCAGTGACGATGAATATCAATAATAGGGGGATTATTATAGTGCTGATGTGTATTATATGTAGTGTGTTATAATAACTTTGATATAAATCAAAGTATCATGTCATCTGCTCACGAGCTGCATGAGCAGCCCTACCGGACACAAAAATAAAATATATATATCTCCGTGCTATGAAAATATTTTAGAGAACTCCGGGCTATATTGCTACTGGTCAAATTAAATGTCACTTGTTAGCGGGCTATATCATGAGCGGGCTGTAGAGATATCGGGCCCTTTGACAGCGGGCTGGTGAGAGCCCGCTATGCGAAAAAGCGCACGCTGGTGGATATAATACTATATACTGTACTTTAACTTTGAGTAGCCAGTACAAACTTTAGCTAAGTTGTTTTACATTTACAGTTACACAGTATTATATTTACCACACACATTACACTAATTTAGTATTGTGTAACCGAGACGACAGTGTGGTTTACGTAATGATTATAATTTAATATCCTAAGTAATGTTATGTAATTATGTATAAGCGAATACGTAATAATATGTATTATATTATACTGATATGATACAAAATGTTAGGTTTTATTAATATGATAATTTATCAAATTTACCTCATTGACATCATTACATTGCTCTGCATCATCATATTGCTCTGTGAAACACTCATTTCACTATTCAAACAAATAAAGTTCATCCTCAAAAAGAAAGAAACAAATTTTATTTTCTGATTTCAATTGAAATTGATAAAATTTAAGTTTAAAGCACTTAGAACTAGTCCTGGCCGTATTTCCCGCAAATAACTCTCCCAATTTATCTCCCTAAATGGAATTACACAACTCTAACAGATCACGAGAAAATGAGTCACTCAGTCGGACAGCTAGTAATAGTAATTGATAAAATTCCAAGCTCTTCATTTGGAATTCCATTCGATCATCTTGTCCAGGATACACGCGTCGCAATCTCAAGCAATAATAATCAAGAATTATATTTATGATTTGAACTTTCCCACTCTTTTAACCACACTTACTGAGTCGCTGATATTCAACATTACAACATTATCGGAATTAACTATTGTCACGTTTGTTTACACCTCCATTATTTCCCGTATATCATTTAGTTTTTACACAACATACGCACTAGGGTTAAATCACTTTCACACTTGCTACACCTCACATCCCCACAAACAGCTGCTTTTAAACCTGCAGTTCACCTCATTCTAATCTACCTTGCAAACACGCATATTTAATTTTAATGACTCGCATAATATACTGCGCATAATGGTTTACATACCAGCTAAATTAATTATGAACTCTCACATAACTTACATAAATTAAACCTCCCATAATCCATATATCTTACAACTCATACCCAGTCATGAGTCAATTTATACAGAGCACTTGGTACACGACACAGCACTTGTTGGTACATGACAGCACTATTGTACACTCTTGCTCAGACTAAAAATACACGTTAATTAAACTGGGTGCGCTTCTTTTGGTGTGCAGACTTGTTCTAGATCCTGATAACTGATTGGCTTAAATATATCACGTGTTGGATCCTGATTGGTTTAAATCTATCACGTGTTGGATACCGATTGGTTATATTGTGCCACATGGATGATTGTGATTGGTTACTTTCTGTTGCGTGGTACGAATGAAGGTTGGTGAAACTGTTCAAACCATGATAATTTTCACGATTTTAACTTTTGCTTTCGTGACAAGAGGTGATTCATACAGCATAATGCACGCAACACGGTTTACTACATGGTCAATAAAGCAATTTCTCACATTCATAGCTCCTCCCTCAATTCAATAAACTATTATTATAAACTGATATATAAAAATATATCACGGCCAACAGGCATTTCCTTCACCTGCTGCATTTAGCAACATTGTGTAAAATCATGCTCATTTCCTTTCTAAAATATCTTTAATGGCTCCAGATGTCGCTCCAGACAACATGAAAACAATTTCGTTGTTACTATACAATTTCTTTGTTACAATGTAAATTAGCAATTTATTATCTCCACACTTTAAACTTGTAACTCAAATATCAAACACCCTGCAGTTCCTACTAAACGCGACTTAGCGAGGAACACTGCGTGATCAGCACCTCCAATTTACATTAATACCTTTTGCAACTTGTCAAAGTACAGCCGTGCAAATTTGCTGCGGTTATTAAAGAGATCTCTTCGCAGCAGCATTATAGGTAGCAGCATTATCATGAAGGGTACTTAGTGAAGGGTAGAAACTTACATTATTAAGAAGTGTAACCTGGACGAATATTGGGCTGGTTTGAAGTGCGAGATTAATGAAAGTTGCACAGTCAGGGTTTTCTGCGAGTAGTAGAAACCAGGAAGCAGCAATCATTTAAAGACCCCTATTTGAAGACCCCTATAATGCTTCCTTCCCTTAGTTTTAAATTGGAAGGCCCAATAAGATCCCCCAAATAAGATCGGTCCTTATTGGGGGGGGGGGGGGGGGGGGGCCACATTATATAGACTCCAAATGGCAAATTGAAGGTTATAAAATATATGGTATAATAATATATAGTCCAAGCTTCAAACAAGTGGGCATTACATGTGACAATACAAGATGAGTTATGCAGATGCGTCACTTAGAAACGGAGGATATTGTATAAGGTGAGCGTCAGTAACCATGGAAACGGAGGATATTGTACAAGGTGTGCGTCAGTAACCATGGAAACGGAGGATATTGTACAAGGTGTGCGTCAGTAACCATGGAAACGGAGGATATTGTACAAGGTGTGCGTCAGTAACACGTTTGTACCGTCATCTCACCCAAAAAGTAATAAGCTGCCTGGTCTCTGCTTTGAGCGGAGTGTTGTATACACTCTTAAATATTCTTATTGTTGTCATACATTATTATCAACTTACTCTATGCTTTAATTTTCCACTATTAATTGCTAACAATGTATTTTATTCTGTGTTTTTCTCAACCATATGGATTATGGGCGCTGTGAATAATACGGATTGTCATTATTCTTTTGTTGGACTTGGAGATTCAAATCGTTGCCTAACAGAAATTTATTCTTCGTCATCATCTATTTTAATGCAGTCTTTACTCTTTAGAGTAATGACCGGCTAGGTTTATACTTATATGAGTTATGACAAATCGTAAACACATAATACATATAATACATATTTTAACCACATATTTTGTGCAGAACGAACAGATAGTGCTCAGATTGTTTGAGACGATGGCGTTCTGTAACTTTATAGAAGACTACGGTCCACCATACAGAGTGTCCACCTTGTTTGACGAACTAGCTAGAGGTTGTAGCGTGGACCCGCCTCGGTGCTGTCCCAACCAAGATCAGGTGGGTTATTAATTAGCTGATTACATAATTAGTTTGTTAATAATGTGTTGGAATTTATGTTATAACTTTTTGTGTTACTTGAAGTTGATTGCTCCTGTTTATTGGAAAATAAATTTATTTTCATTATTATGTCATTGCGATTTTATGAATAGTTGTCTGTTAATAATAATAGTAAAGAATTTATTGACAAGATATGATAATTGTGAACTATGCATCTATGATAGGCTACAAATACACATGTTTTATAACCAATTAGCTAGAGCTAGATAATAGTTTATTTATAGCCCTGAATAACGTAATTGTTTTCAGCGCCTCCCAACTGAAACAAGGGAATTAGCACAGAGACTTCTGGAGAACGAGGCGTGCATGGGCTCCGTCCGGCCAACTAAGGGACCCCCTGAAAACATGTGGGTTTCATCTTGTGTCTTATCTTTTGATTTTAGCATGATCTTTTAATTTTATCTTATCTTTTATCCTATAACATTATGATCTTATATTTTTTCTTCTTTGATTTTATTTCAATCATTAGTTTATCAACCTCAAATTCTTGGTAAGTTAATGATCCATCTTTTAAGCCGTTCAGAAACCACAAAAGAGCTTATCAATTTATCATGATCACATCTAATTTGAGAATTTACAGTTTTAATTAGATGTAAAGCTTCCAAATCTGCTTTGACCTCATTATTTAAGTGCTGCACTAAAAGAGTGCTTGTGATCGCAGCTAACGTCATGATGTACAACGCCCAGTATTCCGAAATGACCTAAAGTTAATTAATAGTTTAATTGGCTAATTAATTAATTAACTGCCCTAATCCACAGAGACGAAGTGAAATTCCCACGGTTGCGAGAGTACCGAGTTAGTGAGTTACTCGAGGGTTACGGTATAAATCTCCAGTCTCGGAAACCTAGCATCACCATGGAACCTCGTAAGTCAGCTCTGTTAAAGCCACAACTTTTGTTTTTGTTTCGAAGTCTGTTTTACCCTTACAACAACTTTTACCTTTACTAAAAGTCCTAATACGACTCAAGTACAGTAAATCCCCGATTTACCGCAAACCCCGATTTACCGCAAACCCCGATTTCCCCCAAACTCCGCGGTAAATCGGGGTTTTACTTTGATATATTATTTGAATAACGTAGTCTGTGAGAGATACACCATTACAACACACCGCTCGCGCTCTTTACCCTGTAAAATAGTACTTTATACTTTTATACGATATGACACGTCTGTCTAGACACCTTGTTACTGCTAGTCACCAGTTACAACTGGCAACTGGTTATTACTGGTAACTGGTTATTACTGGTAACTGGTTATTACTGGTAACTGGTTATTACTGGTAACTGGTTATTACTGGTAACTGGTTATTACTGGTAACTGGTTATTACTGGTAACTGGTTATTACTGGTAACTACGCTGTAAACTTTAAGTTCTGTACCAACCAACTGTAAGCCTCTGATTCCCACGTTAGCCATCATCGTAGTCTGATCAATACCCAAAATTTAATGACGGAAATGACTGAAAGAAGGCAGGGGATAACCACGATTTACACGATTAGAAAATCTATTTGTTATACAGGAATAATTACAATTGTAAAGTATGAAATATCTTACTTCCCTCTGAAGTAGAACACTAACAGTTGATGAGAGAGCTTCAAACATGGCGATGGAGGGAAGCGGTGGCTCACCGCAGGGAGGTAAATCAATACCTGTATCGCGATGGTAACCATTTCCAACCATTTCAACCGGCCTTCCGAAAGTTACTAAATACTTCTGAAACCAAAACAAGCATTCAAGCCTGACTGTGTCCGAAAACCCTACCTGGGTCCTCAACAGAAATTTTAACACTGTATGCTGATTGCTGAGTACAGATAATCTTTGCAATTTGTCAGGATTTACCATTTTCCCGCCCTCCTGAAATAATATCTGTACATGTAAAATGTACCGCCGCGACAAAGGGGAAGAGTTATATGTGTGTTGACTGTGCGGTGTGTGTGTCAGTGTGAGCGTAATAACTTTGTACAGTTTAGTACGGGTTTGTTTAACACTTTGTATCCTCTACTCAAAATAAATTTAGTGTTGTCTCAGTTCGTTAGTTTGGAACTTTGAGAAGTCTCTGTTTATTAACTATGTGTACATCTGTAATTCATAATATATATCGAGCGGTAATGTTATATTTATCTATTTTAAACTGCTCACTTAATCTATCGATTAGTTAATTAATCGATTATTTTCTTCAGATTGTACGGAAGCGAAGTCGATAATCAAAGACCGAGCGTTACCAGGCGAGGTTCTCCCATACCGAACCGCTAAAAAGAAGATAGAACTCCGGAAAATGAACAACGCTCTTTTGAACTGCCTGACGGCCATGTTCAGCAATCAGATATTCAACGCTCGGAAGGTGATAAGATAAGCCGAAAATATGTTAGGAATTCAAAAGGGGGGTCCAGATATGACATATTTAATATAATATGACATGTGTAGTAAGTGTTGAGATTGAGAGTAAATTGGGTAAACCGTAAACGACACTTTTCCCGAAACGTATCTGATAACTGATTCGTAGTCCTCAGGAATGTCACTAAGTATTTATTTGACCCATAATAAAAAATGAACACTGTAATGCATAGTTTCCAATTATAAACGTTGCTGGTGGTACATTCCATTCATCTGTTAAGAACTTGATTTCTTGAATAATCTGTAACCATAATAAAAAATGAACACTGTAATGCATAGTTTCCAATTATAAACGTTGCTGGTGGTACATTCCATTCATCTGTTTAGAACTTGATTTCTTGAATAATCTGTAACTTTTTTTCGGATTCCAGAAATAAGCTAGGAAATTCCTAGTACAGCTACATATTACAAATGCAGTGTATTGAGCAAATTCAATTTGCCCGTCATAAACGTCCGAGGTTGATTAAATCATACTGTACGATATTATAAGTATTCAGCAAATTTCATTCACAAGTATTCACAATATGTGTACCGGAATACAAGTGCGAGTTTATATAATAGTTGCACCTGATAATATGGTACTAGGTGAGAAGCGCGAGTCATATCCACACTAGATAATCCGACTGAAGCTAATCAGACGCTACCGAACATGGAATGCCTCGCTCGGGTGGTACAACGCAGTAGAGACACGGCGTCCGGATCTGCACGGCACATGGAATGTTTAAAGATTGGCCCATGGCCATATGATGTGATACCTGCGAGAGCCCGGAATGAGAGGTTCTTTAAAGTTGTCGGTCACACTAGATAATCCTCTCCTGAAAACACTTGATAAAATGATTCACACGAGTGTTTTAACAAAAATCCGTTCCTGCAACCCAGGAATATATCACCCACAATCCTGCAAAACTCTACAATCTACATGTTTCAAATATATAGGAGGAATGTTTGTCAGAAGAATACTAGACATCACTCGGACGACTATTATAGCAGAATATCTCACATCTCACACACAAACCACCCAGTTATATAACCGTCACAAGCTCACACACACATATCACACCTGATATACATTACTTTCACACCCGCATTCCGGGAAGTGTTGAGAGTTTGGTCGTCATTTGAATGCCGTGTGTACGGTGCAGTGGAGAGAACATCAGGAGTTCCCATGTGTAGTTGGGAAGTGGGAATGTGGGATGCATGTATTATTTAAGAGGTGGAATGTACGTGAGATTGTATACATTGTATGACAAAGGAATGTAAATATTGTGGTTTTGGCAGCCTGCCAAGGTAAAACCTCTGAGATTACCGGCGAAGGATCTGGGTAAGTTTGAGCAGAGGTAAAATAAATTACAGTGAATAATGGATAATATTTATAACTAAATACGGAAACACATATTATATTTTACTGCACTTGCATGCCATGCCATTTCCATAGACATTATTCTTGAACTTGAAGTAGCTTGCACTAATGAAATATCAAGATGTTATAAAAGATTCATCTCTTTTTCCAATCGGTAATTCCTGGAACCGGATGCAGATAATTATACTTTTTGACAAAAGATGAAGAGATAAAGTGGTATAAATATTATTAAATATTATCCGGCTCTCTCTTCTTTCCTATAATTTTGTATGACATATTTGAATTCAACAATATCGACCAATATTGTCACAGCAATATAACGTTTACATACCTAATAGAGCGGCAAATTTTGTACGGTATCTTCTCGATAAGGTCGAAGTGTGATATTGGTTACGATACATGCAAGATATTGTATCAAATACTGTAATAAATAATCTTAAGAACTGAAACCAGAATATTTCCCGCTCAACAACCCACACTCCTAGAAATATTCCAGTATTTCAGAGCGACACTCACGCCTCCCTACAATACACACAGTGTAAGTGTGTGTTCCACAACACTTGCGTTGGTGTTATTAACACACTGTACACAGTATTTCCACCCTGCTTATATATAATATAATATATGTAATATGGTGTACTACGTGCAACAATGACAAACATGTATATAACACACACACACACACACACACACACTGCGTAATTAGAAGCAGACAATACATGGTCCAATCAAAAACCCGGAGGTGGGTCACGTGGGCGGGGTGGTCACGTGGGTTACCATGACTACCTACCTGGTCACGTGGGTTACCATGACTACCCACGTGACTGGGTGTATGTCGTGTGTGTTTCACTGTGTGTTAAGTGTAGTATACCAGTTGTACTGCGAGATGTTGCTGTTTAGATGGAAATGTGATTAAACTAAAACTGGGATGGACAATTATAAACGAAAGTTATTTCAATGATACTAGATAATAAAATATAGTTAACTTAAGAAACCGTAAAATTTAGATTGTCTGTTGTACGTGAGTTCCCAGATTTGTGTAAGACCACCTGGTTCCATGTGGCTGCATTCACTTGAACACGTACATTGTGATCAATAAATATCATGGATTGTCAATATACATAGTTTACATGGTTTAACCACTCGTATTATCCTTGTTCAAGATTCATCTGACTCGCCAAAATTTTGTTCTGGTCTAAGTAGCTTGTTTTATCTTATCCGGTCTGAGGTTATACTGATAATTAAGCAGGATGGAGAACGTCTTTTATCATAATTTGAATCTAATGAAATCTATTAACACTTTGTTTAGTTCATCTTTAACGTAGACTTACGACAAAACAAATCATTATTTCATAGTGTATTTATACATGTATTTCATACATAAATCATTATGTACCTTCATAGCGGGAGGTACTGTTTGAAGTGTCTTTAAGCGCCAATACAATCAATAGTTGAACCTAATTCGAATGATTAGGTTGATTTTATAAAATGTCGATTATGTTGAGCTATTCTCATTAGAAACTAATTGAGACTTTAATAATGGTACGTTTCAGATATTACCGAAAGCACGTTACGCGTTAGCGTACTCCTCGGTGCGGAATAACTTCGTAGCAGAGCTGAACAAGATACCCAACTCCAGTACTTCCCTCTCCCACTCCCAATTTGATATCCTAGCTGTGCTCATCAACACTGCTCTAGAGGTAAACGCGACAAACTGACAAACTGACAAACAAACTGACAAACAAACTGACAAACTGATAAACTGACTGGCGAATTTATTTAAAAACTTATTGGCAAACCGACGAACAACAAGAACACATTTACAATCAAACATTTAAACATACATATTTTCTGTACCCTACGAATTTACATTTAAATAGTGGATAATATAATTTTGACTTTTCACAGCTCTATCTCACCCGATGTTAAACACATTCAATTATTCAATTCGACCAGACTATCGGTAAATAGTACAAGCTAAGCATTCACAGCTGATAAAGGAATGTTGGTTTCAGTGCCAGTCGATACAAAATATGCATCATTCCTCTTCACAAAACTTTTCACGGTGTCACACAGAAGCACTGAGTACCTGTTGGACAGGTATTTGTAGCACGTATAATGCAGGGAACAGTACTACCTGCCTCGCTACTTTGTTTTAATATGTATCAGGCTCAGTGTCCGTACCAGGCACTATCCGGCCCGGATTGAGAACAACTTGTTTAAGAAGTTGGTGAGGACAGTAACTGTTACTCCGACAAGGTATCTCCTCCTCTCTCCCCGTCTTTCTGCTCTCTCCCCTCTTTTATCTCTCCCCTCCTCTCTCCCCTCCAGCTCCTCTCTCCCTGTCTTTCTGCTCTCTACCCTCTTTTCTCTCTCCCCCTCCTCTCTCCCCTCTTTTCTCTCTCCCTCCTCTCTCCCCTCCAGCTCCTCTCTCCCCTCTTTTCTCTCTCTCCCCTCCTCTCTCCCCTCTTTTCTCTCTCCCCCTCCTCTCTCCCCTCTTTTCTCCCTCTTTTCTCTCTCCCCTTTTTTATCTCTCCCCTCCTCTCTCCCCTCCAGCTCCTCTCTCCCTGTCTTTCTGCTCTCTACCCTCTTTTCTCTCTCCCCCTCCTCTCTCCCCTCTTTTCTCTCTCCCTCCTCTCTCCCCTCCAGCTCCTCTCTCCCCTCTTTTCTCTCTCTCCCCTCCTCTCTCCCCTCTTTTCTCTCCCTCCTCTTTTCCCTCCAGCTCCTCTCTCCCCTCTTTTCTCTCTCCCCTCCTCTCTCCCCTATTTTCTCTCTCCCCTCCTCTCTCCCCTCCAGCTCCTCTCTCCCCGCCTTTACCCCCTCGCCGTTCCATCCTCGAGCTCCTCGACTAGATTTAGCGTGCAATGTACATTTATGTATATGTCATACAATGTAAAATGTACAGTTCCCACTTTCCTCTTCCGCCAGAAGCACCAAATCCAGCCAAACAACTTTCGACGATACTACCAGATCTTTTTCCCAGGACAGAAAAAAGGGGCTTGTATCATTAATTGTGGACACAAATACATTGCGCTGATCTTCCAAGAAACTTTGGCTCTAGCGAGAGAAGTGAGAACTACAGTAAACTGTAGATTATCTGAATATTGGTCCACATAATACTACTCAGTACATATTATTGTTATTACCTGCCTAATTATCTATGTTACACTTGGGTGTTTAGCGTACGTTAGAAGTTCCCAAAATTGGTCAGTGTTCACATCATAACAGGCTAACTACACTCCACAGTTCATCTGACAAAAAAAGAAGACAAAAAGAGGGGGGCTGAAACACCTCAAAATAAGTCACGTGCTTTGAGTCACAATTATCACGTGCGACTTGGTATAAAGGTATAAAGACGAATAGTAAAAACTTATTTATAAACTGTAACGAAAACTTATACCTAACATAAGTATAACATATTAAGTGATAAGTAATACCACAACTTCCAATCTTTTTCTTCAATGTCAATAGTTTGAGATCAACATGGAAACTACATTTCCAGCTTCAACATCAATATCTACCCCACACTTCTAAGTCGCTATAAGTTAACATCATACATCACAGCTGTGCTACAGGGAACCGGTCAGGAGGGCGGAAGACGCGTGGGCGGAGGTCGCGTAGGCGGAAGACTTGAGGGCGGAAGTTTCCTAAAAGGTTGGACACGAGGGCGGAGGTCGCGAGGGCGGAGGTCGATCCCATGATTTGGGCGGAAGTCTCGTAAAACGATCACATGTCCTAAATGCTCGACTGGTAATACTACAAAAGGGACAAAACCTGAAACATCACACAACGTACTTCAAATTGTATAAATTATATAAGTTATATTCAATCATTTTAGTGGTACTGATTTCGAATTCTTTGTAACTTTAAAAACAAAATACACAGGGTTATAGAGAACGCTTAAAGGTAATATAAATCACAATGTAATCAATCAATTTTGTCAAAACCCGAATAGAATAATATCATGCAATAACATAAACATTTCACATAGCACTCTTTAGCAAATCAATATAGGTTAAAATATCATCCTCGTACGAATGGTAGTTCTGAACTATGCTGAGGATTCTTCTATCCTTGTCGCTGTTGGCCTTCTTCCTCTTAGGCGGCTGCTCTCCAAGCGAATTCGCTAAGATCTTCTTGTCTGTCGAGGACTGTTCCATCTGGACTGCTGCAATGAAATTGTAGATGGTCGGGTTTGCGTGTCCGACTAGAGCAGAGAACTTCTTGTTCCAGGACTCCACCACGTTGTTTGTCCGGTTCATGTTGAAGTGGCTGCGTTCATAGGCATTCCACGTGGACGGAGGGAATTTAGCTCGTCCGGTGCCGGAGGCAGTCGTTAGTCCCTGGATCCAAGTGGTGTGGAAGTATGCCAGGAGATCGTCAATGGCGAGGCCTATCGGTATCTCATCCAGGATTCTGAAAAACGCTTCGATGACGTCCTCGGTGGGGATGAAGGCTAGGAGCATCAGTCTCCGTCCTCTTCCAGTTGAAGATCTGCGAGGGATGAAGGTGCTCTGGGTCTAGGGTTTCCGTATCGGCGGGCTCTCTGTGCCCTCTTCTTCACCGCTTGTTCGTTGGGGAGGCGGGCACGTGCATCCTGAGACATGGGACCAGTAACGGAGCAAACGATGTTGTGGTTAGTAGTCATCGTCGTAGCAGCCAGATCCTGGACTTTAGCGAGGACTTCTTTCAATTCACAGTCAGCGATATCAGCGTCGTGGTTATGTATCTGTGTCACTTTCACCAAGGATTCGTTCAGGGTATACAGACGACCACGGCAACAGTCTTTCTTCCTCACACATCTCCAGGCTTGGCGTCCATCGGTGGTAAGCTTTCCATCCTTAGAGTAGCGGAAACCACCGTGTAGGAGATTCTGACTGGTAGGAGTCCTTCCTCTGATAATCTTTACTGTATCTTCATCGTACATGGTTGTTATTGTAGTAGTTGAGATGTAGCTGGAACTAAATAATAAGATACTTCTATTCCCAACATCGGTCTTAAATATACTAGTTGTCTCTCGAGTCGTCTACGTTGTGACTCAAGTTGTTCGTTTCACTGTGCAATCTCTTCGTGTGAAAACAGTTGATCATATCCCAGATCAGTTTACGTGATGTTGTGATGTCCTCACATACCGTTGTGTTATATGAGATCATGACCATGGTGATTCATGACGTGAGTCGAAGTTATGTATCACGTGACTCGATTCGATAGTTTGACTCACATGACACAAGGGCTTCTGGGATATGATCAACAGTTTTCACACGAAAAGATTGCACAGTGAAACGAACAACTTGAGTCACAACGTCAGAATCTCCTAGTCCAGATGGAACAGTCCTCGACAGACAAGAAGACCTTAGCGAATTCGCTTGGAGAGCAGCAGCCTAAGAGGAGGAAGGCCAATAGCGACAAGGATAGAAGAATCTTCAGCATAGTTCAGAACTACCATTCGTACGAGGATGATGTTGTGCTATGTGAAATGTTTATGTTATTGTGATATTATTCTATTCGGGTTTGACAAAATTGATTGATTACATTGTGATTTATATTACCGTTAAGCGTTCTCTATAAGTATAACCCTGTGTATTTTGTTTGTAAAGTTACAAAGAATTCGAAATCAGTACCACTAAAATGATTGAATATAACTTTGATTGAATATAACTTATATAATTTATACAATTTGAAGTACGTTGTGTGATGTTTCCGGTTTTGTAGTATTACCAGTCGAGCATTTAGGACATGTGATCGTTTTATGAGTCTTCCGCCCAAATCATGGGATCGACCTCCGCCCTCGCGACCTCCGCCCTCGTGTCCAACCTTTTAGGAAACTTCCGCCCTTGCGTCCTCCGCCCTCAAGTCTTCCGCCTACGCGACCTCCGCCCACGCGTCTTCCGCCCTTGTGTCCTATACCCGTGCTACAGTCTTTATGTGCCCCGTATCACTACAAACAACGTGTAATTCACAAGGTGGAATAAAAAATTGTAATTTTTTGAGACATCAAGGGTAGCCTTTGACAAAAAACCTGCAGGATCCTGAACACAGCTGTGCGACAATCCGCACATGTGAGCCCCGCCTGAACACAGCTGTGCGACAATCCGCACATGTGATTATTACTACAACCAGCGTGTAATGTACAATTTACCTGGACCCCGCTCATATAGTGTCCCAGTCCTCGGAGAGGCAGAGAGAGAGAGAGAGAGCTATTAGATTACATATTATGTTGTGCAGATCCACATGTTTATTAGTAATGTAGAGCTCTTAGTTTTGTACAAATGATGATGGACGACTACAATACACAGAGTTATGTTGTTCTGAGTGTTCTGAGAGGAGAGAGAGGGAGACGAGCGCTATGTTGGGGGCGCCGTTATAATATTACTAGCATATTTTCATACTTATTTTACTTCTGTAATTCCAACAACCGCATTGCTGCTTAGCAACGTGGCAGCTTTGTTGCTCTATCACCATTTCTCCCTTTTTAACAGACATTGACATGGGTACATGCACATAACATGATGTATTAACTGAATGTAATACGTAACTCAGAACTAAAATAATAATCAAACTTCAATCATATCATTAACTATACACATGTGCGGTATTCCTAAAATTCCTTATCAATACCCCGAATATTCGCATTATTATCATAACCCCGCTCCATTTTCAGAACGACAAAGGTGTTGACGCTGGAGATTTCGCTATCAAGATCATGCCCCTTACCGACAAATTCTGCCGGGTTAGTTTCTATATTTTCTCTATTTTCGTTTCCTTGTACGACGCAAGTTTTGCATACTTCGAATTCCTGGGAAGCACTAGATTGTTTCCAGCGATGTGTATAGTCCGTGTATTGCCTCGAAATTAAGAGAAATGTCGCCTGGAATTAGTGAAATTTTTCCGGTAAGGAATGCAGGACATGTACTCGGAATGCGGGACATGTTACCATGACTACCAGCGTACCTGACTCGGTCTATTTTCTGTTTTCATTACTCTGCGTGACTGAACTGATTGGAGTGCAAATGAGGGTGATTGGGTTAACTGAGTTCAACAGAGCTAAAACTTACAAGATAATATAGTTGGAGGAGTCCTAACTCTCCTCACGTCCGAAAATGGCGTTTCTCTTGTATCAAATATGGAGTTGATTCAAAATACTATTCAAATAGTGGTCTTAGCGAATTGACTAATAAAATCAATTCTATTTGATTAATTTGCTTAATCGAAATGAATCATATTAGAGATCACTTCTGAAATCTAGCGGACATGCTTACTTGAATTAAAAGAAGCTTTAAAGTTCCGTGAATATTCCGCACTGACTCTTAGTGACTCCCAGTGTGTGACTCTTAGTCAAGTTGGAGTTGAGTAGTTTGAGTAGTGTTTTCTAACACGTCGTAATATTCGTTACTTCACAACTACTACACAGTTGTGAGTTGTCGACAATACTATATTTACACTTTACAGTATATGTGGCAATCATACTCTGTCACCTAGACACACGTATTATAGACACACACACTTACGTGGAGATGTACGCAGACACTATACACAATATTGGGGTTTTTAATCCCATTAATAAATGAGATAGCAGCAGTTGCCCTGTTGAACATGTTGACTGATACATGTGATATATTAATGCCCTGTTGAACATGTTGAACATGTTGACTGATACATGTGATATATCAGTGCACTGCTGAACATGTTGAACATGTTGACTGATACATGTGATATATGAGTGCCCTGTAGCCTGTAATTGTAGCCCTGTCAACAGATCACACAGCCGGGTGTTCACTCTCCAACATCTGGTAAAACTGTACTCTCACAGAGGGAGGTGACTGACACGACTAGAGCGGCTAACGGTGTTACAGACACGTAATAGTGAAGGGTTACTCAATAACAAGTGCACGGGATTGGGTCTTTCAGCACAAGAACTTGGTTTCTGAAAATTATGGCGAATTGACACGAGTGGATACGCTGTAATTGTACTTTGTAACAACCATTTATAAAGCGTATAAAAACTTTACATCTAATCAGCTCTTTTTATGGAATCATTGTCTATGAAGTAGTAACTTTGACACGTGCAAAGACTGTGCGAATGCACGTGCAAAGACTGCGCGACACGTGTAAAGACTGTGCGAATGCTGAATAATTGTTACAGGACGGCTAGTTTTATAACGAGAGTTATAGAATAAGGATTTCATTAACATTTACCGTTCCGAATATCCTGAGTGATAATATACTGCTGTTGCATGAACTACACAATGGACGCAAAGAACTCTGGTTGTATTTATTTTTAAACACTGATGTATATACTTTCTCAGCTCTGAAAACCGGCTTTAAACATGGTTAATATCGTACACGAGTATTGAATACGAATTGTTTATAGTTTTATAATGCACTGAATCCAAGTGTAGATGAGACACTTTAAAAGTGCGCAGTATGCCATAAGCAGGATTAAACAAAATTAGCGCCCAGAAGTTTTACAAACTTTTGGAGAGAAAGAGAGAGAGAGAGAGGGAGAGGGAGGGAGGGAGGGAGGGAGGGAGGGAGGGAGGGAGGGAGGGAGGGAGGGAGGGAGGGAGGGAGGGAGGGAGGGAGGGAGGGAGGGAGGGAGGGAGGGAGGGAGGGAGGGAGGGAGGGAGGGAGGGAGGGAGGGAGGGAGGGAGGGAGGGAGGGAGGGAGGGAGGGAGGGAGGGAGGGAGGGAGAGAGAGAGAGAGAGAGAGAGAGAGAGAGAGAGAGAAATGTGACCTCTGTAAGTACTAGCATTTTAGAAGTGCAGTAAGTTTTTCAATGTAACAACGACCGCCAAACACAACTACAACAGTGCCTTCTAAGACTTCCCAACGAGAAACGTGCGTGTACAAAATATATACACCGTAAATCCGAGGGTTTCAATAGCTTTACATAAACCTATAAACGTTATAGATTTAGTGTATCGAGTTGGGCTCTATCAGACTGATCTGACAGCTGAGGACTGTTTCTGTATCTTGTTTTTTACTGACCAACTGGAACATTCCTGGACCTCCTGAATGACCTAAATCTGAATACCAACGGCTGGCACGGAGCCAGGGTTGTTGATGTGTCAAACTCAGACATGGTAGTCGGGTAGGGAAGTGGGTTAGGGGGAGTGTTGAAGAGTTGGGGAGCAGGGTGTGGCAAGTTGGAAGGGATGCGCCTTTATGTTGCACGTTTTGTTGGATGTGGTTAAAATCTAAAAAAGTAGTGATTTTTGTAACTTGGCTTTGGACTAAAGTTAAGATTTAGAGACTAAATTTTCTAAAAGTTGACAGTTGGAGAGTGACCTTATGTTTAGGAAGACTAACAACATATCTCACGCAATTAACAATGTATACATATTACAACGCTAGTTCTATTTAAATGTGGAATTAAAAACTTGGTAGTCCGAGAAGCTATCTATCGTTAAGCAATTACATAAAACGTAAAAACTGACTGTATATTTTGGTATTATCAATTACGTGTGGCTTCTCAAGGAGTACCTGGTATAAAGTCTGGTATAAAGTCGAATTTTATAGTTGGCGTTTTCAATCACTGGCTTTTAAATTTAGTCACTAGTCAACTTAAAACTTTAAAAAATCTGAGATCAAATCTCTATCATTAGACTTTTATCTTCAGCTATCGAACACTAACGACCCTTATTTCAGCAATTACAATACGGTACAGTACAGTTTATCTACACTTGCGTTCAACATCATAGTATATGGCAGAGCGTGTCGTTCTGGGAACGAGCTTTCTACTGTATAGTGCAGGTGAGAGCCACTGATGATTAAACAATTAGTTACTGATGATTATAAAACAAAGAACTTTCCAGAGAAAAATTTAATATTTTTAGGTGCTAGTTTGTAGTGGTAGATAATTGTATGGATGATTGTTGACATCCGATGTTGAAATTTTCCCAATTTGAAAGTTCACCTCCAAGTCCCAACAGATCGGTGAGTTATAAGCGATTTTAAAATCATGGGTAATCATGTCTCTGCCCTAATCATGGTGCAAATAACGAGTTTACTTTCAGCAACACATATTGGAAGTATTTGAAACGATGGAGAAGGACGGCACGTTGCACCTTAGCCACCACGACGAGTCATTACATAATGGGTAAGTAACAGTTACTGACGGATAACTTACCGTAAGTTAACCGTCAGTAAATAAGTTCCTCGATTGAACCACTTGTTACAGTTGGAATCTTAGAATTTTGTTGTGTTTTGATCTGCTTTCCGTCAAATTAAGTCACCCTGTTAGGGGGTCCGTGAAATTCTAGAAGGTTCAGAAATGATATTTCAAACGAATTAAATCTTGTTTCAAAAATGTTAGTAAAATTCTTTTGATGCATTGAAGTTGCAACATTTATAGTTATTAGTTATGCATCAACGATGCTCCGCAGCAAATTGCAATTATTGCACTTATTTTCATACTTATTGATAAGCATAGAAGCGTATAGTGATCATGACATAATAAGCATAGCTATTAAAAACTTCTCTATTAACAACTTCTCCTAATAATATCTCCTCATCTGTATCACTACCATTTGACTACAAGTATAACCATTATTCCCCACATGGCACCCTCACATCACCTATAACTGAAGCTGTGCCAATCAGCCCCCTTTGTAGCGGTATTGTAGTGGTACATCTCCCTTCAAACTTCTCACACCATTCACACACACCACTTTTTAGTTTTCTAATCTCAACCCGCTCACCAATACTCATCCACGGATGGTTGATTCCACGCTGTTATGCGCACGATGAATTCTGCAGAAAGTTAACGCGTGCGTAGTTAAGACTAGAGTAGTAAATAACACGTAGTAAAATAGTAAATTAGTAAATAACACTCTCACTCGGATAGGGTATTAGTAGTACACGGTGTAGTTTGGCGGCTTTTCAAAACGATATTTTTACCCACACTGTTTATGTGTGACAGTAACAGGTGATTATCTCACCTCCGTCTGATGCACTAGATATATGCACTATATTATATGCACTGTATTATAGTGCATTTTTATGCAGTCATAAGGTGATGTCATAATAAGGCTGCTTCACGTATTATTCCACCGTTATTAATGTTAGTTAATCATCTTAACATTTGTACTCATTGCTTTTAATCAGTCCGCGCAACATACGTAGTTACGATAATTGCACAAAGCTAGCTGTGAGAGAGAGAGAGAGAGAGAAAAATTCTTGGGTGTATTTTTAACAATTTGTTGATAGCTTATACACGATATTAAGTGTGCGTGTGTGTCACTCTCCAGTCTCCAGGGTATATAAATATATATATATAAATATATATCAGAGGGTACGTTAGATGTTAGCTTTACGATATCACACGTACCTTCTTAACCGTGTATTCATATTTACTGTCTTGCGACAAATATACGCCAATCAAGTGCGTTTAAATTTATTGTAATGCAAGGAAATGGTGGTGTTGGAGAATGAGATAGTTTTAGATTGACACGCTTGACCGTAAATTGTGTTCCCGTGCGAGATTACGTCTGGAAAAATAGTCGTCTGTTTACTGATGTATTCGTTCTAATTGCTGATTGTCTTTTTATGTATGCAATAATATGTGATCATCGTGGGAAAGAATAGGTTTCGATGATAGCAAACTTTGGTGTTAGTTAGCTCATGAAACCATGGAAACCATGAGATTGATCCTTTTGTCGTGTTGGCACATTCAGGACTAATTCATGGAAAGTTATATTTTCGACTCCTTAATTTGTACTTGTGGGGCAAAAGCGTGTATAAAGGTATAAGGGCGGTTCTCAAAACGTCGTAGCAGTAACGCGCGAGAGTATATTAAATTGAGAAAGCAAAATGCCCTGTCACAGAGTTTGCGCGGCTTCTACGCGCGCGCAGCATGCACTAGAAACTTGCACGATCAAGTCGTACGATCCGAGTAGTGCGTACTCGAAGTGGAAAGTTGTATCCTGATTTATTAAGGGGGGGGGGGCCAATGGATATTTTTTTGTGAAACTTGATTTCGAGATAGCAGTTGACCAACAAACTAAGACCAGTGACCGAACTTTTGAGGGGGTCCCGGACCCTAACCGCCAAACGGTGCCTGCGGGGCAGCCACGCCCATATTTGGTCCAAATTAGGCCCAATTTAGCCAAATACCCTGAACATGCCCAAAACCCAAATTTTAGGTGCTCTACTTGTAGCTAGTGGTCTCCTGAACTCGTATATGAAATTTCATCAAGATTGGACAAAAAATGACTGAGTTATGAGCCAAAAACCATATGCCCATATTTGGGCATACGCACCAAATTTGGTAGATTTCGTCCCATAAATTGGTCAAATATCAATATTTTTCACTGAAACTTACTTTATATGAAAGGTAAGCCTAAACTACATATTCTCTGTAAGTTATAGCTTTATATCTGTTTAAATGTGGATACTAAGGCGAAAAGACCACAAAAAATGAACTAAATTGCCCATATCTTGGTTCGCGATATTCGCGGAATTGATCTCATTAAAATTGTAACAACTCAATCAGTTTTCAAAATTTTTCCATGAAATTTTCGGAATCGACTCGAAATCGCATTTCCACCTTAGTTTGAGAACAGATTTTTTGATTTAGGCCTCCAAAAAAATTTGGCGGCCAAATTCCAAAATTTTCCCGGAGAAATTCAGAATTTGGCCGCCAAATTTTTTTTGAGGCCTTAATCAAAAATCTGTTCTCAAACTAAGGTGGAAATGCGATTTCGAGTCGATTCCGAAAATTTCATGGAAAAATTTTGAAAACTGATTGAGTTGTTACAATTTTAATGAGATCAATTCCGCAAATATCGCGAACCAAGATATGGGCAATTTAGTTCATTTTTTGTGGTCTTTTCGCCTTAGTATCCACATTTAAACAGATATAAAGCTATAACTTACAGAGAATATGTAGTTTAGGCTTACCTTTCATATAAAGTAAGTTTCAGTGAAAAATATTGATATTTGACCAATTTATGGGACGAAATCTACCAAATTTGGTGCGTATGCCCAAATATGGGCATATGGTTTTTGGCTCATAACTCAGTCATTTTTTGTCCAATCTTGATGAAATTTCATATACGAGTTCAGGAGACCACTAGCTACAAGTAGAGCACCTAAAATTTGGGTTTTGGGCATGTTCAGGGTATTTGGCTAAATTGGGCCTAATTTGGACCAAATATGGGCGTGGCTGCCCCGCGGGCACCTTTTGGCGGTTAGGGTCCGGGACCCCCTCAAAAGTTCGGTCACTGGTCCTAGTTTGTTGGTCAACTGCTATCTCGAAATCAAGTTTCACAAAAAAATATCCATTGGCCCCCCCCCTTAATTTTAACTATATTCAGATACACTGAAGAGAAGCATGCCCAGTCTATGCAAGAAATATCACAACGAGCTCTTATCCACTCAGCTGTTAGGGTAAGTCGATAAATCTTAACGATTCTTTTTTAGTTTTTATATGACTAAATAACGATTTTTACTAACCTGACTTGTACCTTAAATCAACACGCCTTCCCAACGTGACGGTGGTCACACTATTCATCTTCCTTAATTTCGCGGTTTTATTTTCTATATTATTGTAGATTGTTCACCCTTTTCTGTCCTGCAGTTGATGTCATGGCCCAACTGGGACTCAGACATGCACGATGAAGTCAAGACACAAGAGGAAACCACTATAATCGGCCAAGTTCGGCATTTCTGCAGCAGAATCATCTGGCTTCTAGTCCCTCTGAATATAAACCATGAGGATGATGGAACTTCCTTCAACAACATGGCGGATATCGACACAATAGAACACTTTGCTTTCAACGACCCCAGCTCACCACTCAGTAAAGAAGCCCGACGGGTAAATGTTTAACTGCTTTACATTTTTACTGGGTCTATGTACGTACCTAGCATTTGAGTTTAATTTATAGATTTATAGATTTATGTAGAAATATTCTTGATGAGTGATGACGTGTGATTATGTTTGTTTTTTGATTTCACTATGCAATTTATTTTGAAACTTTATTTCTTCGTCAACTATTTTAGTATTTCATTATTTCATTAAAATCCCAACCATATTTTCAGTCGCTAGACAAGCACGAAATAATCGAGATAGTAGAGAAGTTCGTTGACAACATCGTGATGAGATGTAACGTAAAACACTACTCAGAGATAGACAAGATCCGTATCATTGTAAGTATCATAACAATACCTTAACGAGCAGGTTTATTATTAGGTTACCTGCTAGCTAATTGGGAGATCTAAGTTTGTTTACAGCGTGCGCTATTCTGGCGTTGAGCCCTGGTATTACATTACGTGATGTAGACATGAACATTCATACTTACAGTCAAATACCAATTACTAAACTTTTGTAGGGGCTGTGGGTAACATTTGTTTTAGAGTAGCAATAAATAAGCATTTGACAATCATTGGGGATAGTGAACGGGTCTGGTGTAGGGTATCTGAGGTAACTTTAATCTGAGGTAATCTTTAACTGAAAGACTCAGGTGTCAAATAGTAGCAGTTATTAAAAAGTCGTAGCAGGCACGAGTAACCTTCAATTAAAGTATTACGTCCAAATTCTGCAGATCCCGGAGATGTTTTCCATGCACTGTGAAACTCTAGAAGACGTCAGCACGCACGCTGCCAAACTACCCCCGGTGGAAAAGACCACATTCCTGAAGGCCCGCACGGTGGTACCCCCGCTGGTAAACCTGGAGAGAATCCTAGCAGACCCGGTCCACGTGTATATGATGCCGATACCGAGTACAGGTTGTGGGGTTCAACCCCAGATTCTACCTGCCGAGGGAGTGCTGTATCTTACCAACTACAGGATTATATTCAGAGGGTACCCTAGGAATAGTGACGATGAATATACTGTCATCTACAGGTTACAATCAACACATTCGCTCTACTGTTTTTTATTTCTTTAAGATTCGGGGTCTCATTATAATCATTTTCGCCTAGTAAATTTCAGCTTGAGTCGAGAGCATGATAAACATATTTAAATTTGGACTTATTATTTCAGGACAATGCCCATTGGCTCGATATATACGCTAACAACCGAACCAGAAAGGGCGAAATCAATCGAAGACAGTGAACGGGACGATCCGTTCGACGACTTCCTCTGTGTCGAACAAGAACTCCACATCTCATCCTTAACTTGTCAACTGTTCCGTATAGGCTTTTTCAACGAGCAGAGCTACGACGGTGTCGAGCAATTCAAACGAAAATTAATCCAGCGTAGAAAAGTAACAAAGATTGTCCACACTTTCGCGTATGTTCGACCCGAACCCGAGATCATAGACGGTGTGCGAGGTTCAAGGAATCACCATCATCACCACAAGAACAGGAAAAGCATGTTGGTTAATAATCCTCAGAAAAACACCTCGACATCTTCAGCTGCTCCGACCCTTACCAAGCGGGAACGAAACAAGGTGGAGGAAAGTCCGAAGTCTCCGAGCGGCCGATTAAAGGCAGGGGAAGGGCTCAGTCACAGTCCTAGTATGGCAAGTTTAGTGTCTAACGGTGATGAGCACAGCGAGAATATGTCGTTGGTTTCAGGACTCACATCCACCAGTATTTTCGGACATAGCGGCAGTTTCCGTATCAAAAGGACTAAGAAACGTCAAGTTTTGAGGTACCGACCCGAGTTTTCGTACTGCGAGGACTTTGCTCGGCTCGGGTTCGGAGGTTTCAACGATATAGGCAAGACTTCAACAAAAGGTCCCTGGAGGCTTACGGCAGAAAACAAAGACTATAATCTGTGCCGCAGTTATCCAGCTATACTCATTGTTCCTTCCCTCAGCTCTGACATTGAACTTCACAATGTAGCTCGACAATTCGACCGAAATAGGTTCCCCGTCATATCGTGGCGGCATCCAAAACGCGCTGCCACCATATTGATGCGCAGCGCAAGCATCGTGCGGCGTGGTGTCATGGATAAGATCAGTGCAGCACACAAAACATTTACCTATAAGGTGAAAGGAAACCAGGCTCGTCCCTCCACAGATCTGCCAGACAATGGATTTAGATCGGAACACACTGAGAATTATCTTAATGTTCTTGTTCACAGTATCAAACAGTTGGTGAGTGCATTTTTTGATTTTGGATATAGAATTGCATAACGTCTTGTTGGTAAGTTACGACTTGAGACAAGGTTTTATATATCAAACTAAAACAGTTTTCAAATCCAAGAATTATGTTTTGATAGCCTGTTATGTCACTGTAAAAAACCTCCCCCAGCAAGCAAACTGTAAAACGACGGCTTACAACCCCCACAAATCAAAGAATCATCACCTCCAGAAATTCTTGTTCCGCGGAATGACCAAGTTGAAGGAGAACTTTACCATGAGCTCCGAGAAACTGTTCTCTGGTTATTCAGGTTGGTGTTTTAGTGGAATTTTACTTGTAGTTTCAGCGAAGTGGTCATACCCAAGTACTTTTTTAACCTCCTTTTTGTTATAAAGAGCGCCTCGACCAACTCTACTGTACCTCAACAGAACAGCTCATTAATCCGCAGTTTAAATCCCAAATATTCCCAACTTAACATTTACCGGGTGGCAGACAACTGAACCCAATTGAACCTAGTTCCCACGCAGTTAACAGGCACCAAATCAGCTTAATTGGGTGACCAATCAGCTTAAATCCCAAAACGACAACTGAACCCAGGTCATATCACAACTGCACCCAAATTGAAAATATGACAACTGAACCCAAGGAAATACGACAACTGAACCCAACGATCGGATTTTCAGTGATATGACTGTGGTCATTATCACTATAGGATAGATCATGACCACTGTAATTTAGAGCATTGGAGCCCTGTGCTTACCCCGGTAAAATATCAATACATACATGCTACATGAAGATTGAAGAGGTCTCCTCCTAGTCGTTGGAGTGGCCTGCATCACACGCATCTCTTCTACGGTGTTCCACTAGTTTAAGAGCTAACTGTTTTACTGCGTCTCTGCTGATGTTATCGACACCTGTCAGCCGCATCCTCGAGAACACAGGCCATCCAGCCTTTACGGAGTCGTCCTCTCAGTCTCTTCCTATAGTTTGGTTTCTAATCCAGTAAAAAATTGGGAAACTGTGTCTCTGGCATTCTGACAACGTGTCCGTCTAGCTTTGAAAGTTAGCCTTGTAGATACGGATCTTGATGGGCGTTCTTATAGTTCCACTGTTTCATGTCTTCCAAAGCTGATGGAACGCACCATTAGCACGCTGGATACTTGGCTCAGGTTACTTGACTCAGATCTCGTGACTCCTGATGCTTTGGGAGGGCCCTGGGTCGGATCTCGATGCTTGAGGAGCAGTGGATCGTATCCTTTTCGGCACGCTTCGTGAACACGTAAGCTTGTTAGATCAGATCTCGCGATCGAAAGGCACCTGAGACCTGAGAATCTATTAGTACGCTTGTTATACCCTGACAACCTAGTAGCTGAGAAAGCAGAGTTCAGAGCAGAATTGAAGCGGAAAGGTGCCGACCAACACCTCCCAGCAACACAAAACCTCCTCACCGAAGCCTTATCTACATGCCCATTGCCCATCCGAAATCAACGTGGTACTACTTAAACTAAAATCACTCGCCAGAATTGTCCAACGATCACGAGCAGATAAGTCCGGATCTGCCGACCACTCCGAAGCACCAACCTCAACAGACCGAAATTATTATAGCACTAGAAACCAGGCAGCAGCTAAACTAGAACGGTATTTGGAAACCTGTTAGTGATTTCTAGTGACGATTGGGTTCAGTTGTCGTTTCAAAGTTAATTGGGTAGTCTGATTGGGTTTATAATTATTTTCCCAAGCTACCCTGTCTAGGAAAAGTCCAAATTGGGTTCAGTTGTCCGGGTGGCAGACAACTGAACCCAATTGTAAAACAGTTAGCCTACCTAGAATTTATCCCAGCATCGCAAGCAGCTCTGTCCCACATACCCGAGGGTGACACCATGTCACAGCTCCTGGAGGAGGACGAAGAGAACACTAAGATCACTCTCTTTGTCGTAGGCAGATATCACGACCTCAAGGTAAAAACCCGCCGAATATTCATTATGTTGCGTAAGGTATATAGTAGCCCTTAATTAATATCTTCATTCGAAGACTGTTAGATTGAAATTTATTTTCTACGATTGTTCAGCTTGATATATGTTAAACCTTAAAGCTCGAAAGTTTTTAAAAAGGTATTTTACGAGCTTGTTATCTCCCTAGAACGCACGAATGGAGAACTACACGGAAGTTGAAATGATTGGTATTGAGGACATGCATTATCGGGAGGTATGTTTTGATAGGGTGGTCGGTGTGGAGCACTTTAGTTATTGCTCAAATGAATATTTCATTACGTTAACATTACTCTGACATAAATGTAATTATCGAATATCACTCAATATTTAACTCTTATAATTTCTCAAGGAGTTGACCTTGATCATTTCTGAATGGAAACGATTAAAATCATGTTCCTTAATTTTCAGAAGCTAAGCATACAAACATGTCTAGAGTGATTTAAATAACACCTCATTTACTTTAGGTCGCAAGATCGTTTGAACTGCTGATGGGAGCCTTGAACCCTGAGTCGGAGAAATCTGACTTCTGGACTCAGATTGAGAATAGTAACTGGCTCGAACAAGTAAGCGTTTTTAAAGAATTTATGATTTTTCCAGCTATTTTAATGATTTAGTTTTTTACAAAAAATAATAGACCAGGTTCATTGAATCCATTAGATAACAGCTTTACATATCATATCATTATCAACATCATAAATCAGCATATTTATCTATCTATCCAGAAGGGTCATGATATGAGGCACAGGTGGTCGGATATACTCTCCCGTCTTTGATTCCTCGGACGCAAACCATCTTCTAATAGGACTCCTGTAAGTGTAGAACTTGTCCATAAAGTTGGTGATTTTTGGATAGTCAGAACCTTCGAAGGGTGCTGGAAGGAAGACACGAAGATCGTAGAGGCAAGCGTAGAGAAGGTAGTCAGCGTGGATAGGGAGGGTGTCTCCCATGATGAAGGGTCCTTCCAGGAGAGGTTCCAACTTCTTAGCAAACGAAACGAACTTCTTAGAGAACCTTTGGTTAGCGTAGACAGGGTCAAAGAATTTCTCAGGGTTATTGGGTGCAAAGCAGATCTTGTTGATGAGGTAGACCATGCTGTTCATAACGGAGAAGAGAACTTTCTCTACTGCCTCGGCTCTCTCAACCATGGCTGCATCATCCGGGATCAGGAAGTATTTGGCTCCAATACAGCGGACTAGTGCAATTGTTTCGGTCATCTTGCAATCAAGGTCCATCCAGTTGTTAGTGGTGTTGTCTCGAGGTTGCAGCCACCAAGGACAATGATCCATGTAGTTTGCTAGATCGCCTGGGGAAATAATCGTTTATGATATTGTAAGATACACTCGATAAAAATAAACAAAAAAGGAGCCAATTAATCCCAAGAAGGCCAGATTTAACCCTCAGAAATATCGAAATTGCCTACCTTCACAGGCTGCTTTCTGATGATCTTCTTCCAAGACCATCCGGGAAACCAGCATCATTTTGCATACTTTGGAGTCAAAAGGTTTCATCGGCATATTGACTTGGGCTATCTATTTGAGTTATTGGTTAGTTGATCGGGAAAACAATGCGATAAGTATATATTGTAAATTGTAAATTATGATCTACAACCATAAAGACGAAGGAAATGGATAAGTTTAAAGCAAATTCAATTCTATTGTTGGATAAGAAATAAAACCGGAAGATAGCTTTCAGCTTAGATAGCAAACATTATACAAGATACAACGGAATTGCACAACATAAGTCATTATTATATAGAATTCTAATCAATATTTTCAAATAGGAAAAGTAAGAGGGAAATATGGTTTATGTAGATTAAGGTTTTGGTAGAGGGATGATTGTTCTAGTGATAATAGGGTAGTCAGAACCAGAAGGGTTCTGGAAGAAAGAAACCAAGATGGCTGAGTTTAGTGAGAAAATATAGTCAGCGCGGTTGTTTCGCACCCTTTTAAACTCCCAAGGGTCATATCATTATCAAGTATCAACATCATAGGTAAATCAGCATATTTATCTATCTATCCAGAAGGGTCATGATATGAGGTACAGGTGGTCGGATATACTCTCCCGTCTTTGATTCCTCAGACGCAAACCATCTTCTAATAGGACTCCTGTACGTGTAAAATTTTTCCATAAAGTTGGTGATTTTAGGATAGTCAGAACCTTCGAAGGGTTCTGGAAGGAAGACACGAAGATCGTAGAGGCAAGCGTAGAGAAGGTAGTCAGCGTGGATAGGGAGGGTGTCTCCCATGATGAAGGGTCCTTCCAGGAGAGGTTCCAACTTCTTAGCAAACGAAACGAACTTCTTAGAGAACCTTTGGTTAGCGTAGACAGGGTCAAAGAATTTCTCAGGGTTGTTGGGTGCAAAGCAGATCTTGGTGATGAGGTAGACCATGCTGTTCATAACGGAGAAGAGAACTTTCTCTACTGCCTCGGCTCTCTCAACCATGGCTGCGTCATCCGGGATCAGGAAGTATTTGGCTCCAATACAGCGGACTAGGGCAATTGTTTCGGTCATCTTGCAATCAAGGTCCATCCAGTTGTTAGTGGTGTTGTCTCGTGGTTGCAGCCACCAGGGACAGTGATCCATGTAGTTTGCCAGATCGCCTGGGGAAATAATCGTTCATGATATTGTAAGATACACTCGATAAAAAGAAACAGAAAAGGAGTCAATTAATCCCAAGAAGGTCAGATTTAACCCTCAGAAATATCGGAATTGCCTACCTTCACAGGCTGCTTTCTGATGATCTTCTTCCAAGACCATCCGGGAAACCAGCATCATTTTGCATACTTTGGAGTCAAAAGGTTTCATCGGCATATTGAATTGGGCTATCTATTTGAGTTATTGGTTAGTTGATCGGGCAAACAATGCGATAAGTATATATTGTAAATTGTAAATTATGATCTACAACCATAAACACGAAGGAAATGGATAAGTTTAAAGCAAATTCAATTCTATTGTTGGATAAGAAATAAAACCGGAAGATAGCTTTCAGCTTAGATAGCAAACGTTATACAAGATACAACGGAATTGCACAACATAAGTCATTATTATATAGAATTCTAATCAATATTTTCAAATAGAAATAGTAAGAGGGAAATATGGTTTATGTAGATTAAGGTTTTGGTAGAGGGATGAGTGTTCCAGTGATAATAGGGTAGTCAGAACCAGAAGGGTTCTAGAAGAAAGAAACCAAGATGGTGGAGTTTAGTGAGAAAATATAGTCAGCGCGGTTGTTTCGCACCCTTCCAAACTCCCAAGGGTCATATCATTATCAAGTATCAGCATCATAAATCAGCATATTTATCTATCTATCCAGAAGGGTCATGATATGAGGTACAGGTGGTCGGATGTACTCTCCCGTCTTTGATTCCTCAGACGCAAACCATCTTCTAATAGGACTCCTGTACGTGTAAAATTTTTCCATAAAGTTGGTGATTTTAGGATAGTCAGAACCTTCGAAGGGTTCTGGAAGGAAGACACGAAGATCGTAGAGGCAAGCGTAGAGAAGGTAGTCAGCGTGGATAGGGAGGGTGTCTCCCATGATGAAGGGTCCTTCCAGGAGAGGTTCCAACTTCTTAGCAAACGAAACGAACTTCTTAGAGAACCTTTGGTTAGCGTAGACAGGGTCAAAGAATTTCTCCGGGTTGTTGGGCGCAAAGCAGATCTTGTTGATGAGGTAGACCATGCTGTTCATAACGGAGAAGAGAACTTTCTCTACTGCCTCGGCTCTCTCAACCATGGCTGCATCATCCGGGATCAGGAAGTATTTGGCTCCAATACAGCGGACTAGGGCAATTGTTTCGGTCATCTTGCAATCAAGGTCCATCCAGTTGTTAGTGGTGTTGTCTCGTGGTTGCAGCCACCAGGGACAGTGATCCATGTAGTTTGCCAGATCGCCTGGGGAAATAATCGTTCATGATATTGTAAGATACACTCGATAAAAAGAAACAGAAAAGGAGTCAATTAATCCCAAGAAGGTCAGATTTAACCCTCAGAAATATCAAAATTGCCTACCTTCACAGGCTGCTTTCTGATGATCTTCTTCCAAGACCATCCGGGAAACCAGCATCATTTTGCATACTTTGGAATCAAAAGGCTTCATCGGCATATTGACTTGGGTTATCTATTTGAGTTATTGGTTAGTTGATTGGGCAAACAATGCGATAAGTATATATATTGTAAATTGTAAATTATGATCTACAACCATAAAGACGAAGGAAATGGATAAGTTTAAAGCAAATTCATTTCTATTGTTGGATAAAAAATAAAACCGGAGGATAGCTTTCAGCTTAGATAGCAAACGTTATACAAGATACAACGGAATTGCACAACATAAGTCATTATTATATAGAATTCTAATCAATATTTTCAAATAGGAATAGTAAGAGGGAAATATGGTTTATACTTTATCTAGATTAAGGTTTTGGTAGAGGGATGATTGTTCCAGTGATAATAGGGTAGTCAGAACCAGAAGGGTTCTGGAAGAATAAATCCAAGATGGTGGAGTTAAAGTGAAAGAATGTAGTCAGCGTGGGTGTTTGGCACCCTTCCAAAAGGTCATATCATTATCAACATCATAAATCAGCATATTTATCTATCTATCCAGAAGGGTCATGATATGAGGTACAGGTGGTCGGATATACTCTCCCGTCTTTGATTCCTCAGACGCAAACCATCTTCTAATAGGACTCCTGTACGTGTAAAATTTTTCCATAAAGTTGGTGATTTTAGGATAGTCAGAACCTTCGAAGGGTGCTGGAAGGAAGACACGAAGATCGTAGAGGCAAGCGTAGAGAAGGTAGTCAGCGTGGATAGGGAGGGTGTCTCCCATGATGAAGGGTCCTTCCAGGAGAGGTTCCAACTTCTTAGCAAACGAAACGAACTTCTTAGAGAACCTTTGGTTAGCGTAGACAGGGTCGAAGAATTTCTCAGGGTTGTTGGGTGCAAAGCAGATCTTGTTGATGAGGTAGACCATGCTGTTCATAACGGAGAAGAGAACTTTCTCTACTGCCTCGGCTCTCTCAACCATGGCTGCATCATCCGGGATCAGGAAGTATTTGGCTCCAATACAGCGGACTAGGGCTATTGTTTCGGTCATCTTGCAATCAAGGTCCATCCAGTTGTTAGTGGTGTTGTCTCGAGGTTGCAGCCACCAGGGACAGTGATCCATGTAGTTGGCCAGATCGCCTGGAGAAATGATCGTTCATGATATTGTAAGATACACTCGATAAAAGGAATCAAAAGACAAAAGCAGGGCAAATTAATCCCAAGTAGGCCAGATTGAACAATATAAAGATTGCAAATTTGCCTACCTTCACAGGCTGCTTTCTGATGATCTTCCTCCAGGACCATTCGAGAAACTAGCATCATTTTGCATACTTTGGAGTCAAAAGGTTTCATCGGCATGTTGACTTGGGCTATCTATTCGAATTATTGATTAGTTGATTGGACGAGTAATGTGGTAATTATATATTGTAAATTAAAACCTAAAACCATAACGAAGAAGGAAATGAATAAGTTTAAAGGCAATTCAATCATATTGTTTGATGAGAAATAAAACCATGAGATAAATTTCAGGATTGAAAGGAATAGCACAAGAAATGCCACAACATAAGCCATTACAATAGCAGCAGGGACATTTGATGTGGTTTTGGTTCCAGTGTAGAAGGATTATTATTCCAGTGCAGAGGGATTATTGTTCCAGTGTGTTCACTCCAAATTCTTGACCAATGCTTGTGAGTCAGCTAACAGGGTCATGATATGAGGCACAGGTGGTCGGATATACTCTCCCATCTTTGATTCCTCGGACGCAAACCATCTTCTAATCGGACTCCTGTACGTGTAAAATTTGTCCATAAAGTTGGTGATTTTTGGGTAGTCAGAACCTTCGAAGGGTTCTGGAAGGAAGACACGAAGATCGTAGAGGCAAGCGTAGAGAAGGTAGTCAGCGTGGATAGGGAGGGTGTCTCCCATGATGAAGGGTCCTTCCAGGAGAGGTTCCAACTTCTTAGCAAACGAAACGAACTTCTTAGAGAACCTTTGGTTAGCGTAGACAGGGTCGAAGAATTTCTCAGGGTTGTTGGCTGCAAAGCAGATCTTGTTGATGAGGTAGACCATGCTGTTCATAACAGAGAAGAGAACTTTCTCAACCTCTTCTGCTCTATCTGCCATGGCTGCATCATCCGGGATCAGGAAGTATTTGGCTCCAATAGCGCGGACAAGGGCAATTGTTTCGGTCATCTTGCAATCAAGGTCCATCCAGTTGTTAGTGGTGTTGTCTCGGGCTTTCAGCCACTGTGGACAGTGTTCCATATAGTTTGTCAGGTCACCTGGGGAAATTTACGTTATTACGATCTGCTGAGTATCAATAATCATTGATAAAGGGATAAAAGTTGGAGGAAAATAAAACTCTGTAATTGTTAAACTGCAAAATTTCCTACCTTCACAGGCTGCTTTCTGATGATCCTCTTCCAAGACCATTCGAGAAACTAGCATCATTTTGCATACTTTAGATTCGAAAGGTTTCATTGGGGTCGTCATGTTGATTTCCGAGCTAGTAAATCGAGTGGCTGGTTAGTTAAGTAACTCGGAGGTATGCACGTATTCTAAACTTTAAGCTAGCAAAAGAAAACTGCTAAGAAAACAAGGAATTTTACCAAATTTTAAATGAGAACGTAACCTGAAGGACACTTTTCCAACAAAAACAAAACAACAGGCTGATTGAAAATCTTTAATCATCAGCGAGAAGATATAATAGGATACGAAATAATCCAGGGACTGGCATGAAGGACACCATAAGCTTTGAATTTGTAGGGTTAGGTATAAAACAGCATAATAATCGATTGATAAAGATAGAGCCCAGATCTTCACAGAGTTTTGCATCAGGCTTGACGGCTTGCGATGGATATCTTACAAAAAACCAACTAATCTAATAAATAGAGGAATAATACAAAGATAACTACAAAATAAATTGTGATTATCTCAACACCAAGCATTGGTCCTTAAGTACGAGCTTGACTTTAACGAGGTTAAGCTTCTCATTAAATATCCCTCGTTTCAAGTGACAGATAAATAACCTTTTAATCTTCTTAATTGGATTTTCGGTGTCATTTGAAATGACGATTATTTGAATTGTAATTTTTAATAACCTTAATAATGATTAATTAGATAACCACATCACTTTTGAAGATAGTAGTTGTAAGGTAAATTTAGTCGCAATTATAGTCATCACTTTTGAAATAAGAGACGTGAGCGGAAATGAATTTTGTATATTTCATTGGACTTGGTTCCTAAAAGAACGGCATCTTATCGCGACCGAACCCAGAAATAAACACATCTGAGGGTTTTACTGCTGAGCAGATAAACATTATCGCATTACATACGCATTAAAATACCGAACTTTCTCGAATCTGCGGAACCTTTTAAGTATGGTTAACATTGACCTTCCGATGGAGAGGCTATACCTGTTAACTTTTTATCTAAGGAAAAACAATGCCACCAAAGACACATTCAAACGCTTGATTCGGAGTTTATTCAACAAGTAAGAAAACTTGTCTCAGACCGTTATTATAACCAGATTATATAATCATTATCAAATGACGGATTAAGAGTAAAGACTACAAATACTTCATTATAGTGTAGAAACTCTTGTAATCAAAAAGCTTTCTTATCTTAAAACTTTCTCTAAGATATTTTGTCTAAATTCTTATCTACCACTCTAATCACGAGCTCGTTCTACATCGGGCCATTCTTCACCTCGAGAGCCGCTTCACCTCACATCCAGAAAGACGGCAGATCGGCAGATAATATTAGAGAAAATTTTGGATTTTGGAATTATTTGGTGCCAAAGAGACCTCTTTAGGGGAACCTTTTTTAGTGGGGAAACATTGATCAGCGAGGAAATCTAAAACTTTCTGGATGTGGGCGCCTTACTTGCACACGATCTGGACAAGTTCCTCTTCACCAGATTACTCACCTTCACCGACCTCGCCTTGTCAGTCCACCGCAAACAACTCTTAATCGCCACACTTGAGAATGCGTACAACAGCGGGTTGGTCAGACAGTGGAGATACAGCATAACACGTGTCACTGATACTATAACGTGATCAGACAGTCTGATGATCTCACAAGTTGTAACGTACGGTAACCAGGATACCGTGAATGTTATGTTGATCAACACAGCTTTGATCAGGATCAGTCTGGGGCTGAGGTATCTCAATCTCGGGTGCCTCTGTAGGTACAGTATAATCAGGCTGTACGCGGATAAGTTGAATATCAGCGGCAGGATCATGAACAGGAGATAAACAAGAGATTTTAAAGTTGTGGTGTAAACAGATCTGTGGGGATTGTCAGTGAGCAAGGTGCAGCGTCTATCAAGAGATGTGAGGCGAGGAGAGGAGGGGAGGAGGGTGAGGAGGAGGACTGTTAGAGACATTATCCAGCTGGTGGAGATGAGAGGAAGAGGACCCGCTTGTGTCGGACCGTCTTGTACCTGAAATATGGCGGGAATATGGCGTATACTTACAAATTGAAGACGATTAATACATATCATTTGACGGATCAAGATATTTTATACCAACGATTTATCTAAAGCCGTCCTAAAATTTAAAACTTACTCTTCTAAAAAGTCTACATTCCAACAGTGTTAAGTAGATAACATACTTACATTATAGGGTAGATAACGGCTACCAATCTGTCTATAGTGATGGGAAGTACAGCTAACATGTTAGCGTGGCGAGATAACGTGTGAAGGAGCGGCTCTAGTGTGCAGGATAGTTCCTCTGGTAGTACCAACGCTCCACCTTGTATTATTAAGTAATTAGTCGCTAATTAGCCCAAACGCTCCACCTTGTATTATTAAGTGATTAGTCGCTAATTAGTCCCAACGCTCCACCTTGTATTATTAAGTGATTAGTCGCTAATTAGTCCCAACGCTCCACCTTGTATTATTAAGTGATTAGTCGCTAATTAGTCCCAACGCTCCACCTTGTATTATTAAGTGATTAGTCGCTAATTAGTCTCAACGCTCCACCTTGTATTATTAAGTGATTAGTCGCTAATTAGTCCCAACGCTCCACCTTGTATTATTAAGTGATTAGTCGCTAATTAGTCCCAACGCTCCACCTTGTATTATTAAATGATTAGTCGCTAATTAGTCCCAACGCTCCACCTTTATTATTAAGTGATTCTAGTCGCTAATTAGTTCCAACGCTCCACCTTGTATTATTAAGTGATTAGTTGCTAATTAGTCCCAACGCTCCACCTTGTATTATTAAGTGATTAGTCGCTAATTAGTCCCAACGCTCCACCTTGTATTATTAAGTGATTAGTCGCTAATACGTTCCAACGCTCCACCTTGTATTATTAAGTGATTAGTCGCTAATTAGTCCCAACGCTCCACCTTGTATTATTAAGTGATTAGTCGCTAATTAGTCCCAACGCTCCACCTTGTATTATTAAGTGATTAGTCGCTAATTAGTCTCAACGCTCCACCTTGTATTATTAAGTGATTAGTCGCTTATTAGTCCCAACGCTCCACCTTGTATTATTAAGTGATTAGTCGCTAATAATACAAGGTGAACTAAAATTCCTCCTCGTCTGTCGTCATACTAAGTAGTAAGTAGAGACAAATTTAGTATTATTAAGTATATGTACTAATTAGAGTTAACTTACCGAAGCCTCTAAGGAGACCGGCTAGAGCGAAGAGAGCATCTGTGATAGCCAGGTTTAGATAGGCGAGATCATACGTGTTCTTGTACTGAGGGAGATTGAGAGATGAGACGTATTTTCTTGTTGGGGTATTATCAAGTGGAACACAAATTAGTTTCAACTTTGAGGAAATTTGAAATTAAATTTTCTATTTATTAGGATTGATCAGTACTCCCTGCTAGGTCGATGTCTAAAACAAACCTTTCTGTTGCTGATGTAAACAGTAATCATGATACTGTTTAACATAGTTGCTGGTACATTGATCAGGACTAGCCAGAAGTTCATCCAGAAATCTGTATCATCGTCAACTGGACTCGAACTCAAGTTGGGTGGAGCAAATTCCATTGCTATAATAATATTTCATCACAAGTCACAAACCCTTAAAAAACACAACCTCTCATTACAACCTTCCAAATATCGTATCTCCCCAGATCCGGAAAATGCTAGAGATCTCGTGCTCGGTAGTAAAACTGAATTTCTAAATATCGTATCTCCCCAGATCCAGAAGATACTAGAGATCTCGTGCTCGCTTGTGGAGCTGATGGACAGATGGGGCGTTTCCGTGTTGCTGGCTCTGGAGGACGGTAGTAACATTACCGCTCAGATTAGTTCGCTCATACAGTTGCTAACTGATAAACACTATAGGACTATCAAGGGGTAATTGTTTGTTTATTTTGTTTTTTCAGTCATATTGTCTCCGTGTTCATGTACGCATATATATATTATATTTGTCTTATTTGAGTTGATCGTAAGAATGCTGATCCAATTATTGAAATTGAGAAATGTGCTCAATTAAGTTGGAATTTTAAAGTTACAGTTCATTAACACTAATGGTACCCCAGATTCAACATGTTGATAGAAAAAGAATGGCTATCATTTGGACACAGATTTTCATTACACGGGCGACAGACCAACGAAAAGGAGGACAACTTTGCTCCGATCTTCCTTCAGGTATAATCTTACTTGAAGAAATATTTGGCCATTTGCCAAACCCTGCAACTGATAATCTTAATTGTATAACAAATAATTTATTTATGCGTTTCCTATATTATGGCAATGTGTTCAAACTACATGTCACTACATATAGTTTGCTTTGAGTTTCTTTGAACGTAACAAATAACTTAATCAAATTCACTACATTGCCATTTACCAATTAATTAATTTATCAACTAATTAATTAATTGCTATCTCTCCCAGTTCCTGGACACCGTGTATCAGATTCACAGACAATTCCCCCACTGTTTTGAATTTAATGAGTTTTACTTAGAGTCCCTGGCTTACCATCACTGTAGCATGAGGTAATGTAGATATAATAAATATATATATAATTTAATTATAAAATATATACAATTTCCATTCCAGTTCTCCTTTTCTTTGTTTTATTATTTTTCAATAGATATTGATATCAATAAACTTATTCATCTACTCAAGGGTTACAATCTAATTTCAAATTTGTTGTTCTTCTCCTCTTTTAAGGAAGACCAGATATAAATGATCTCAGCCACCTCTAGCCTCTATCCATATAAAATCTAAACTCTAAGTCTCTTCATCATCTCTTTCCATCAGGTTCAGAACATTTGTGTGCGACAGTGAAAAGAAGAGAGCTCAAGCTCTCGGGATTGTTCGAATGGAGGACGACAGCCGGACGTCAACCCCAGAGGTAAGTTATAACCAATTAGCGAATCAATTAGCGAATCATTGTCTTATTACAAAATCATTCAAGCAATTTGAAATTCTATCAATTTTATTTTGTAATCTTCGCGGTTGTTTCCAATTTCGGATATAACAATTTATTCTAACGGCATTTACCAAGCCTTCAAGTTATTTTACTAATCAGCATCGAATCATGCTAAATTATTTCCCTGCTATTTTGGCTTACTATTTTCTTTTTTAATACTTTATATTTTGACTATCTTAGCCATTAGTCAACGATAGTAAAGAATATATTTAACACACCGATAGACAATAAGATGATGTCTTTCTGGCAGACAGCCAGAGAAGAGCTCCAGCTATTTTAACTTTTAACTGGGAATGAACGTTCAGTCATTCGTCCGCTAGAAGAATGATTAGGCAATTATAAGGTAGCACACGCTAATGTTGTTAAATATAAGCAATACTGCATCTGTTTAAGACTCGTGACCTAAGTTCATTCGTCCAATCGACAGAATCTTTCATTTATACTGTAATTTTTTCGCTCGATGTAGATAGATAAAATGAAAACAGGTACTTCGGTAGATTTCTGGTCAACTCTAAAATTTAGATTTTAAAATCAGGTACTTACCTTATTATAATTGTTTCCCTTGCAACGAATAATTAACTAATTAACTAATTAACTAATTAACTAATTAACTAATTAACTAATTAACTAATAACTTAATCAGGTGACACGACGGTCCAGTTCAGTGAGTTCAACGTACGAGAACAACTCATACTCGGACGATTCTCACAGCTTCTGGGCGTACGTAGAGAGCCTCAAGAAGAGTGGCCCGCTGTTCTACAACTACCTCTATCGTGCTTCTAACGCGGATATTGTAAGCATTATTTAATATCTTTTTGAAAATCTGAGATTTTTAATTATTCGGTGTCTGCTACGCAATGCTGACAATACTTTCTCTATGTTTCAAGCAAACAAAATACAAATCAAATCAATAATATTATCAACCACACCCGAAATAACAACAAACTCATCTATTCAAAACCAAATCATCATCTCTGTACTCAACAAAATGAATCCAGTCCCTTATATCACCCCTCGTGACCCCACGTTATCCCTTATCAACCCCACGTGGTCCTTAATAGCAAACAGATGTTCCGATACTTTGCTGTGACCTGTAATTAAAGGCTCGATTTCCTTTACGTCCTGTGATATAACGATGTGGAGGTATGTCAGGAGGTATGTCAGGAGGTAGGTCAGGAGGTATGTCAGGAGTCTTCAAGTTGAGGATTGTAAAAATCATTTAACTCCAAGAACAAGTCATTATTTGTGATTTCGAAATTTCAGAAATTTATTGCTGTCAAGACTCAAGAGGTTAGATACAGCATAAAGTGGCCGAATGTTTATCCTAAAGCAATTGAACTTGGAAGTTTAAATGACTACGACAGATGGAGGTATCCAAATGTTTAAAGCCTTGTAGACCGTTAATTGCAAATTTAGAGATTACGCATTCAAGCGCAGAGTTTTACTCCCTTATGCACGATAGAATTTAAATGACAAATAAAAGAAGCACCCGCCAATAAGTTCATCAGTAACTGACCCATCAGCTACACCAACACTGAGGGGAGGGGGGCCGGGGGGTACCATAACCAGCGACCAATTCCCCCAAAACCCCCTTAAATCCCCCTTCTAACCCGCCTGGATGTCCGGCAGGTGTTACGACCGAACATTCACCTGGCTGCTCTGGAGCTGTGGAACTACTACACTAGAGATGACATGACACTCGGGACTACTTACGAGCCTGACCTTTGGGTTGTTAAAAAGGGCAAGGAAAAGAAACGTTAGTTTTATTGTGAATATTATTTTGATGATGGTAATGTTAAGATAAATTGTGGTGTTTTAGTAATGTTAAGTTTTTGTGCCAAAACTAACTTTTTTTGGATTCAGGACGATAGTTCATAGTTGATGATATTTTTTAGTGTTTTAGCTGTAAACGCACATGCTAGGTATCACTTGTTAAATTTGACATATTTCATCCAATTTTCAGCTGTACCAGTGTCGTCTAAAGAACAAGTCAGCGATGGCCTTGGTGAAACAATCATAACGCTCACCGAACTCAGATTAAATAGAGGTTTCTATAAATTTAATTGTAGATTAATTGTAGATTAATTGTAGATTAATTGTAGATTAATTGTAGATTAATTGTAGATTAATTGTAGATTAATTGTAGATTAATTGTAGATTAATTGTAGATTAATTGTAGATTAATTGTAGATTAATTGTAGATTAATTTACAATTAATTGTAGATTAATTGTAGATTAATTGTACAATTAACCTTAGAATTACTTTCAGATAAATATAGAACTAGATCAATTGTTACAGATTAATTGTATCCAAGTCATTTTAATTGTTTATCTGCACTGCGGTTGTTAGTAATTTGTTCGTGTATCTAACATGTTCATTTGTCACGTGATCAAATATCTACCAAAGGTAACGATGACGTACAAGTGGACTCACCGTGGTTACAGACACTCTACACCTTTAACCTGGACTCTCACTACAAGGTATGTGAACTTTACACTAAGTTTACAGTCTACTGCTTAGGAGACTAAAACAGGATATATCCCAATACTCTTGTACAAAATTCAAATTTCAAATCTTGATTTCGTGAAGAAAAGCTCGGTTGTAAGGGGCCATCTACTTAGGACGTCCGACAAAATGGCCCCTTATACGTGCTCCATTATTATAAAAGCTCGGTTGCAATAGATTTTTAAGGTGCTTGTTAGGTTGGCGTTATTTAATCTGTCGAATAGAATTTGTTGAGCAAACATAAATTGGAAATCGCTCTACTAAGTATTAATTAGTTAATTATACATTAGTTAGTTATAAATTAGTTAGTTAATTATAAATGATTATCCCCAGCCGGCTAAAGAAGCACTTGCCCTTACAAACAGAACGAAACTGCGGCGACGATTGCAAGAAGCTAATGTTCAGTGCTTAGCTTCGGTAAGTTTGGGGTTCCATATGTTACAGACTTTTTTACTTTGGGCGATTCTCAATCAAAATAGATTTTTTTAATCAGTCAATATAATGACCAACCGAACCACCCTCTGGCTAGCTACTTAAAAGATAAACCTATCAATAAATCTGCTACATTTCACCTCAAATAAACATAGGATAGATAATTGTTTTAATTGATTGTTAATTGTTTTATTGCTAATTGTTTAAACCACCAGGGTAAGGTGCGGGTGAACGGACACAGGTTCGAACTGTATAACTACAACCCGTTCACGGAGCCTGAGAAACTGCCGTGTGTTATTTGTGAGGGTAACCCCGAGATACCTGCCCGATCCCAGCTCACTATCAGAGGTAATTAATAAGCTGTTAATTAGTGATTAATTAGTGATTGATAAGCAGCTGATTAGTGATAAGTTGTTATTTAATTAGTAATTATATAACTATTTATTGATTGGCATGTTTGTTAGATATATTTTTTCTTTTCATTTTTTGATGCTCAAACACTTCAAAGTTCAAAGCTGCCTGATGTCTGTATAACCAGTTGTAGTACATAATTCCTACACAGAATATGACCATATCATCAATAAAACAATAGTAACGACTAGCGACCTCCTTTCCAATAGAATAATATAAAAAGTAAAGTCCAGAGCAGCTCGTTTATAATCTAGTTCAGGACCATTTCCATGTGTTTAGTTGTAAACTTGAATAGTATGATGTAACCCCTAGCTACTGTATCTGTCATGATATTGTTGTAGTGCTGTTAACCAGTAATCTATATTGCAGGCTGTCTAATATACGGTATATTATGTAGCCTAAAAATGGTGCAGGGAGTCTAATATACGGTATATTACGTAGCCTGCAGGGGGTCGCACCATGACACTAAATGTAGTTAAGAATCGAGTGGTGTCCAGTGTAGAATGAAATGTTTGTGAATGCTTACTTCTTCAACATCGACAAATTATATCCACGTTCATTGATAGAATCAAGTAAATACACTTATGTTAGTGATACAAAATTCAGAATAAGAAACTGGTCAAAAATATTAAGAGGAATGGTGAAGACAGCTACTGAAAAAAATTCACTTCAAAAACTGATTTATCAGATCAATTTCCTTGGTTTTAAAGTCCGATTTAGGTAGCAGGAACATTCCATTTGTAAATACAGACGATTTGTACAATTTAAGACTTTTAGCCTCTGATAGAGCGGGATGGAAGAAGTTGTTATAGCTTGTGTATCAGTATTTCTTTTTTTCTGGCTACTTATCATATCTTTAAGATGTTCATTTATGTTCTATTTTTGATTTGAATAAAGTTATATAATAATTAAAGGCCGTGGCTTCTCGGTAGTGGACGTCAGGACATGGTCTTTAACCGCCCTCTCAACTAAATTTCCTGACAATTCTCAACGTGTTTATCTAACTAGCAGTCTCTCTTAACCAGCTAACTTTTGGTATGGGAGAATATCGTAACTGGTGACATGGTTTTTGGCTGAACTAATCCATTAAATGATGTAGCTATCAGCTATGCAGTAAAAGTAGAGACTAGAGTTAACTTATACTCCCGACTTATAGAACTTGTCTCTAAAGTAAGCCATATTAGGTACCTTTTTTAGCTCATGCAGGCTGCAGCGTTAGATTTGTCATCTTGGTAACTTGAATTATTTAAACAGGTTTCATCCTAAGTTCTAGGCAAGAGGTTTGTCTGATGACGGTTGTGTTCCATTATTTTTCTCACGTTATCATAGTTACCACAGTTACCAGGCCATGGTTACCAGTTACATCTGCTGCTGAAGCTCATTACAATATGAAATTCTCTATATGTGAACTGCAGGCCCACTTTCAAAAAGTATGGTGTGGGAAACACACATAGCTCCAAAGGGTGCTCTTGCAATGCCTCTGAAAATACGGTATGAACCCTAAGTGGATTAGGAATTAAGTTCAGGAAATCTGCTAATCGAAACAAAAAGAGCGCACACTGCGTAGTCACTGTTGAATCACATCTAAAAACTTAGCAGTTTGAATGCCTCGCTAGTGGCGCGCAGCTGTGATCGTCTAGTGGTTAGGACACTGCGTTGTGGCCGCAGTAACCCAGGTTCGAATCCTGGTCGCAGCACTTTTATCGTCTCCCAACTTATCGTTAATGCACTGTATCCTTCTTATACAATCGTTCACACAGGTATTCCTAATTGCATTCTAGGATAACTTAAACCAATATTGTAGGTTGATGTGACTACACATGTTTATCTTACACTTTTAGCAATATATTATGAAAAAACTTTAATAGAACTGAAATTGTATCCCGTAACTTTCTACACTCAAGTAGTTAAATATAGCTTCTATACATGTTACTAGTAAGCATGACGTAACTACTGTTCTGGTAATTGATACATTCCTCATAGAATTGTTCGAGCTACACAAACGCCTGGAGATTGGATCTAATCATGTATATATTGTGAGCTCCATCAAAACCGCTTATTTTAATTAGGCTTTAGTTTCTCTGTTACAAAAGTCTGACCTTGATGGGACTCGAACCCACAACCTTTGAATTAGAAGTCCAATGCGCTAACCATTGCGCCACAAGGCCTTGTACCAGATGGCAATCACAGCTTCTATATTTTAATCGAATTATATGCGTAAGTATGATATTTTAATCAAGTTAATGACTTCCTACATAGTACAATTCACTTTCATATAGATAATGTACTAATTATATCTGTGTATAATTCCGTAATGACAGTTTAATATGTCGACAATGTGCAATTGTACATTCCTCATACAGCTGTAATATTATTAGTGACGAAATATGCAGATTAAAGTAACTCCAGTATCATGTTACAACATATTTCTAGGCATCAGTACGATAGTTTAAATTGAAATATGAACGATCTGCATGATTTAGTAGAAACCGTTTTGACTTCAACTATTTAATTATTTATGTAAGTGTCAATAATTAAACCAAATGTTTCAAACCATTTACAGAACCCCTTTTTTTCACATCCTTCTATTTCCCTTAATAGCACACTTTTCCTCCTTCAGGATTGAAATGTTGCTACTGTCAGATAACGATACACACGATATGCCAACTGTTCGTCACCACCACCTGCAAGAAACGAGAGGTTAGTTTCACGTGCTCTTTTGTTATTATCATGTGTTCTTTTGTCACGTGCTCTTTCGTTTTAATCACGTGCTCTTTTGTCACGTGCTCTTTAGATTTAATCACTGCTGGGATTCTATGTTTGGAACACCTTTTTTGGGGTTGAGAAAATGTCAGAGCAAACTATTGAAGTCTCTATCTTTCCTGGGTTTCCTGAAAATTTGATCAAATATAATTATCCTTACTCCTTAGCGTAATATGTGTTCCGAATGGGATTAGTTGCTGAGAAGATATAATTAGCATTCTTGATATGACTCTTCAAGTTAACAGAGAAATTTCTTCGGGCCTGTTGCTGTTGTAATCCTTTTATCTTTACTGTTCGAAAGCATCCTCGATACTTAAAGCAATGGAAGATTTTGAATACATTTGATCGTGCTGCTGATTTTGTGTTTTCTGTATTTGCTTCAATTTCCTGCAATATTTTTTGCTTTCTACCTATTGGGCTGTGATTGGTGAAGCAGATGAAGGTTTGTTACCATACCCAAAATCATCGAACCACTTATCTTAACTCTCAATACCAAACCCACTTATTCAAACCCACATGTTTCACAAACTCACCCATACCATTATACAAATACACACTCAAAACAAACACACAACTCATAAATCATCATTCCAAAGCTCACACACAAACTGAGAAAACCTCATCCTAGACCGAGGAGGACACGGAACCAATCCCCCGATCTCAAACCATCAAAGGACGGACGGAAGAACACCGGAAGTCTCGAATCCTAGTGCCAGTATCCCGCTCAGCTACACAGCCAGACCTCACCACTACCACCCAGGGGGCAGATACCAAGGTAGTTAAAGTGAGCAAGTTCAGAAGAATGTTTAGAAAGAAGGATGTGGGACCCCTGCGAAGGATGAGTGCGCTGTGAGACACCTTTTATCAGAAAAAATATTTCCTTGTGTTTGAAATGAGGCGAAGCCAGGGTTATTTCTGTTTGAGAGTCAGTGGTGGAAGTGGTGGAACTATGGTGCATGCGTGTGTGTGTTAAATGTGAAAAGGAGCTCTGTTTGGGACGTAGGAAGTCGAACTTGAAAATTAGTTGCCATTTTGAGCTGTCTCGGCATTGCCTCGGTTTGCTTTTTTGGCGTGTGTGTGTGTGCACTGTGAGTGTGTGTGAGTGTGTGTGTGAAATTTTTGATTTGCTGTAAAACATCCGTGTCGACGCATAAGAAATTTAAACGAATTGCTCTCAAAAATTTGAGCAATTGGCCTGAAATTTATGCACTTCAAAAGATTACTTTAGAACATGACTTGTCATGAAACATACAAATTATCGATGTCATCCTATGTTCACAAATTTCAAAATATTGCAACAGAACTGTGCCGCAGAAACGATGTTTGACAGTATTTTATTCTAGGTCTAGATAATAATAGGTTTAAATACAAACATTAAAACTAAATGCGTGTTTCAATAATCTAGTGCTAAATTCTCAAAACATTCATAGCCACTAAAACGAGAAATACGGATGGTCCACCGAATATCTGACCTGCTTGGAAACCAGTCGACAAAAGACAAACCGACCAAACAAACAGACAAACAAACAGACAAACAGCAAGTTTACAACAAACGACCAGCCGATCTTGCAATATTACAAGATCCTAACCTAGCCGACAGTGGTTTTAACACGACTCATTATACTGATGGTGACCTTTATACCATGAGCCCGATATCTCCGAATTCCTTTTCGTTTGAGTCAGGGTGCGAGTCTCCGTACGACACTTACAGTTATATTTCCACTCCTTTTTCAACGGAGTCCTTGGTGAGAGAAAATGAGTTCGATAACATAAAATTAGAATATTAAATATTTCTAATCTTAGAGTATTTATAATTAAGCTAATTAGTAATAGTAATTAAAGAGTGTGATAGTTGTCGGCACTCAGAGATCACCATTTTATTACTAATTAACAGAGACTGTTTCCATAACAACTTAGCAAAAACCCTAATTCCCCTCGGAGACTAACACGTGTTGCCTCCCTTCAGAGTATTAACGAGAACCACGCTGCTGCAAACCAAGCTCCCGTAAGTTTGATAACGACATTTAAATTATATTATTTAAATTATATTAAATATATTATCAAACAATTCCATTTAAATAATATTATTTTCGAGCAGAAGTTGCGTAAGAAACACCAGGGTAACCAGGGTAACCATGGTAACCAGGGTATAACCCGCCTGTACTAAAGAAACAGTTCACACAAGTTGGTGGTAGTGAGGCTAGAACAGCACCTTTTAAGAGAGCCGCTCTAATTAGAGACTGAGAAATATAGTTTATATCTTATTCTGCGTTTAATTCTGGGAGAGTTAGAGAGGGTATTTTGAACCTACCAAATGAAACATATAAGGAACTTCAATTCCTGGAATAACCGGGTTCTCTAATTCTATCATATCTTTTTCAGACAAACCATATAAGTTTTAAGTTATGGTTAATCAGTTCTTGTGTTGGTCTACATTTCCATAGCCCCTGTGTTAACTGTTAATAGTCAATTCTTTCATCCCTTTAATTTTACCTTGGTGACTAGTTTGTCTCTCCCGTTGTAGCTGTATATACTGCTTTATAAATTGAACCTAAAATGATTCGATAATCAGTCAAATTAATTTTTAATCTCTCAGATGTCAAGTCCCCGAAGAAATGGCCGAGAGGACGGTAACATCGAGGCGACCCTGCTCAAAAAGGGTGGTATCTTGAAAACTTGGAGAAAGTGGAGATTCGAACTTAACGTCAAGTTAAAAGAGGTACGTGATTTGTCTTTTCTTGATTTTTTTTCTCTTATATTTTTCCTCACTAGATGCTGCCTCTTTAGACATGCTAAGAGCTAGAAATTACTACGAGTCACATATTATATAATTAAGTAATTAATTAATTAATAATAGTTATGTTAATTAATTAATGATAATTATGTTATCAGTTACGTTACTACGAGTCAGCAAGTGACGCGCACAATCCCCTTTATATCCGTAAAACGATAGATCTGAGAGGTCGGGTAAAGGTCACCCCTCTCTCCCACTCGGGAGTCAGCAACAGAGACAGCAGCCACCCTCATCACTTTCCTTTCATGGTACGTCAGTCTATTATGTAATTAGTAAATTATGTAATTAGTCAGTTACATGATTAGTTTAATTAGTGTGTCATGAAAACAGTGAGGAGTTGATAAATTTGTGATGTGCGTATTGCTAGTGTTTTAGTTTCGTATAACTGTTGTGTATGCAGCGATTCTCGCATTACACGTGCAATTTCAGACTGCAGTTGCAGTTGAGCACATGTTTAATGTTCATTGTTTATGTTTATTCGTATGCGTGCATTACATGTTTATAATACATACCGATTGTCCTATAATAGCTGCATTCAAAAGTTAACACAGTGAATGTTGTTATACAGAGAGTTACATGTCCCTGTGTAAAAGAGTGTGCAGCTGAGTTAGATAAACATCCTGCCTCTCAGCATCTGTTCAACTAGCTGGTGTCCACTATTATTATACAAACGTGTAATTTGTTCACTTGTTCCGGTTATTTTGTTGGTATATCTTATCTTGAACAAGTTGAAATGCCAATTTGTAATTTCACCATCAAAGAGAGCTCTGTTTTTTATTTTTTAACTAAATTGGTTTCTCTACCGTGTTGTTGTCCTGGAAACGTTACAAACTCATGCAGGAGAGCTATTTGAGATGGACAATTCACCTCTTTAAATGAATTTGAAACACGGATTTCACACATTGTGCATAACAAGCCCTAAAGAGCTCTTTAGGGCTTGTTATGCACAATGTGTAAAATCCGTGTTTCAAATTGCTATTCAGTTTTAACTCTCATTATAATAAATTCGAGTTTGCATGGTGAAGTTCTTCAGAATCCTTTGGCATGATTTCTTATAGGATAATATGCTCTCCTCCCTCACCATTATGTTGCTCAAATTGACGGCTGAGTTATAGTATAGTATATAGTATAGTACTATGTTTACAGTAAACTACCATATAGATGTACTGAAGGTGTATCGTAAGAAGTAGATTCTTGATCTTTTCTTGATCTTTTCCGGTTTCCGGTCATTCGGCTGCGTCAACTGAGGAACAATTTCACAGATGTGTAATTTCTCAATGGATCCTTAGCTACTCCAATTGATCCTTAGCGGCTTAGCTACTCCCTAGACTAAAGGGATATATTTGATGGTAGTATTTTGACTTTTCTCTGCGATTTTTTCTCAGCTCATTTTAGTTCAGATCAGAACGTTCAACCTGTCAACAATTTTATACACATTTCATTTAATAACATTTTTTACACGATGTTGCTAGGATCAACTATTTAAATATCCGTTATGTAGCACATCAGTGTTGCCAGGCAACACTGTTGCCTTGATACACGGATATCTTTGACGTTAGGGCCCCGACCGCTGACCCAGGGTCCTTAACCTCACACTTCCCCGCCTGGCCACGTGACTACGCTCAACCAATCAGAAGGCATGGCTGTTGTCACGTGACTTCACTCAACCAATCAGAAGGCATGGCTGTTGTCACGTGACTACACTCAACCAATCAGAAGGCTTGGCTGTTGTCACGTGACTTCATTCAACCAATCAGAGGCTTGGCTGTTGTCACGTGACTTGAATCACGGAATTTTATTGGCACATATAGAGTACCCAGGGTACACATTTTCAGGATGCTTCGTGGTGTTTTGTTACTTTAAAAATAAGGGTTTTGGACAAATAGTTAAGTGTGCAATGCTTGCACACTTCCTTCTTGCGAATTATAACCTATTTGCAGACAAGTTGTGCATTTCTGATCAATTTAGTGCATTGTTGAAGTTGGTGAGCATTGTTGCTTTTGTTTTGATCTTTTCTTCTTTTCTACTTTTAGAACCTGCTTCCCGGTATTTTTATATCATGATGCAGCAGTTCTAATTTAGAACAGCTGAAGACGATTTACATGTATGTATTTAGAAGTTCCTGCTTATGAAACATTTCGTATCACTTATAATATACTACTACTACAACTACTATGTTGGAACTAAGTCCGATCTACGCCAGATAACCCCCTCCATATATCCCTGTCCCGCATCAGGGTTCGCAGTTCCTCTTTAGAGTTTGTCCCAACTTCCTTCAGTAACATAGACAAGTAGTACTTATAATATTATGTTTTATTAAACAACCCCCTCCAAGTTCTTATTAAACAACATTTCCTTAGTTTCTACATCTACTTTATGAAACCAGAAACAATACTTTCAATGTTTGCAGTGATTATGATCCGACTCCTCATGAGATGATCTTCTTAAGTTTTAGTCTCTCACTCCTTTACCTCCTACCATTCCTTACCTCTCCCTCCGCAACAGAGGACCAAGTCCGCTGCCCTGGGGCACTCCTTATTGAGACAGAACCGTCAGACACAGACGTTATTGAGGGCGGTTCTGCAACTCTCACCTGCATTGTCAGTGGTTCACTCCTAGAAACTGACGAATCACACCATGCATCCTTCAGATGGTTATACAATGAATTCTTACCTAAAACTATCATAAACAGTGAAATATCCTGTCCTAACTGTTCAGTTGTCTCGGATGAGTTGTCCAGTATCCTGGTGCTAAACAATGTGCACCACAACCAGACGGGTTTCTATCAATGTGAAGTGAGTGCAGGTCTCAATACCGTGTACAGTAATGCAGTAAAGCTCCGTGTACATTACATCTTCAATACCGCCCCAGTACTGGTCATGAGGAAGGAGATTCAGGATCAGTTAGAGGCGTTTCTAGTGGAGCTGAACCAGTGTGATACTCATTCTACTGAAAGTTATCCTGTTTCTAGGACAAGGTGGAGAGTTGAGGGTAATTACAGTGGTGATGATTTGTCAACTACTTGGGTAAACACGGAGGATACTTTAATACAGGATCTCTCAGGAGGGAATTCTCAGCTCCGAACCCAAATCTCACAAAACAGCTACATCATCTACAACCTTCTCCCGGTACACGGTAATCTCCACTACACCTGCTACTCATACGTCACCTTCAACTCAACCACCTACGAGGTCCCTGTTGTCACCTGGAGTATCCACGGGGCTGACAGCTACAACTTCCTCGCTGCCTCCCCTGACTACAACTACATGACAAACGTCGTCACTGACTCCAGCTCCCCTGTCGTCAATGTGGGAGATAACTACACCCTCTCTTGTTCATGTGCGGGGTATCAGTACCCGGAGAGGGAGGTCTCTTTCTATTGGAGCAGAGGAGGAGAGGTGGTGGTGGAGGGAGCTTTGTTGGAGCTGGAGAGGTTAACTTTAGAGGATAACGGGAAATATGTGTGTACAGCGAGGATTGGAGAGTTGAGGCAGTCTAAACCTTTCTGGCTTACTGTAGTTGGTAATTCCTTCTCGTTAATTTTCCAGTTTTTGAAATTATTATATTATTTTAACTGACTGCGCCTAAGCGCCTTCATTGTCGTACCCTGGCTCAACTATCCTTTTCTTTTTGTTGTTTGTGAACTCCATTTTCAATCCCTCCAATTTTCAGATAACATCAACCAGAACTCTATTTACTTCATTGAAACACCCCAAAAGATCTGGCACATAGCAGTAGCTGCTGGTTCTTTCGAGAACCCCGTTCTCTCTGAGGCAAAAAGAATGGAGATGGGGAATATTGATAATGAAAAGAATCGGGACAAGCGGAATACTGGATTTAACTTTATAGTAGATTTCAGTCCTGTTTGTCTTGCTTCTAAAGGCAGGGTTAAGTGGATCCGGAACAGTATTGAGGTGAAACATCCCCTGATCCTACCTCCGATCCCTAAAGAGTACCTGACTTTTCAGTGCTTTGCTAGTGGACACGACAGGAATATCCAGAGATCTGTCGTTGTGCTAGTTGATGAGACAAGGCCAGTAGTTATGAATTTCACCAAACTTAACGATACTGATAAATTTATCTTTATCAAGTGTTCAGGGAGGGCGTTTCCTCCTCCAAAAATATATCTGGAAGTTTCTGCCAGCCCACCCGTAGAAGGGAGTCTTATCGAAGAAACATCACAAACAACATCCACCTACAATTCTGTGCAGGTTATTAAGTTGAAGAAACACCTACAAATCACGATCAAATGCATCGTCCACAATGAATACTACTCCCAGAATGAAGAATTGGTATTCTTGTTTCCTGAAAATCCCATCCCTCCACCTACCCAACCTGACCCTGTTCGTACCAATGCTCCTGAACCTACCAAAGAAAACCAAGAAAATGAAGTAGAGGTAATCAAACAGAAGACTGTTCCCGAAGATCTGTCTAACTCGAAAGATGACATTACTAAAACCAACACCCCTGAAGAAGAAACATCCACCGGGACGGACTTGTCCTACAAAAACTTACTGATCTACGTCATATCCGGAGTTATCACTGCTCTTCTAATTTCCATAATCCTGGTTTGTTTGGTGGTCAGAATAACCCGAACTCACAGGTACCAATGTATAAGGAAGAGAGAGATATATCAGGTTAGAGGAAGTGCCACCACTTCTACCAGTTTCGCGCCCTACAACAAGAGTCCGTCCCCTGAGGGCTTCTACGATATTCCGACCGGCCTCTCATGCCATCCGACCTCTCATGCCATCAGAAAACCTCCCAGAAGCATAACCCCTAGCAGCAGTAAGAATATTACTCCCAGAAGCATAACCCCTAGTGCCAGTGGCAGTAAGAATAACAGCTTGAGAAGAGACAAGGACTTGAGTCTAAGAAAGGGGGCTACACTGAGAGACCCTAGCATTATAAGAGGGACATGGGACTCTAGTCTAAAGAAGAACATCTCGATCCACCCTGCTGATGAGCTGAAGGAGTACACGGACATGAGGACGTTTGGGAGTCTAAAACGCAAGACTTGCCAGTACACGGAGGTAGAGAAACGAGCCACCCTTCACGGGGTGTACGTGCTGCCCTCTCCTGTTCCCGCCCCTAAATACTCCCAAATCCAGCACTCACCACCACGTGACCAGTCATGTGACCAGTCACGTGACCCAGTGTACGATAACTTGGAACTGGAAGACGAGGAGCTCTACGATACTCCCCGGACCAGAGCATCCGGACAACACAGTCCGACTCTCCGGACCAGAACATCCGGACACTACAGTCCGCCGTTTAAGAAGCAGGAAACCAGGTCCGAGTATGATAAGATAAAGATAGACGGGGACGGGGATATGCAGTATGATAACATGTTGAGAACCGGACAGCCGGGCACTCCCTTCAGTGATATTTGAAGTATCTTGGAAGTCTCTTTAGAGGTTTGCTGATGTTGCTGGTTGGATTATCTTTAAACGGTTTCGAAGCTGACTAAGATTCCTATTCCTATGTTTTGCAAGTCAAATTGTCATCCCTCTTAAGTTATTTTGAGACATTCTGTGTCAATCATATCGACTTAAAATCGTGAAGTATTCTGTTTTATCAGCGTTGACGTTAAAAACTTTTAAACGATCATGCTCTCAATTTACCACCCTGTGTTACTAGCTAGTTTGGAAGATAACTATGTAGTTTGGCGACTACATATATTTTGTTTTGTGCTAGCTAATTTGGAAAAATGCCAGCTGTGAAGTTGAAAAAACTATAATTGTGCTGTTTAAAACTTAAATATCCACTGCGAAATTGTGTACTGTATGGTTTGAAATGTATCGTATTGTCCTGTGTGAAACTATGTGATATTATGTTTGAATTTGTAAAATGTGATTTAAAATCTAAACTTTATTCCCAGAGCCCTTTTTAACATGACTGGTTGTATTAACACAACTACTTTAGTACATTTTCCAGATAAAAACGGAAAGAAGAGATCTAGTACTCGCTGCGGACACGAAGGAACTCCGAGACATTTGGATGAAAAAGATCAAAAGTGTCAGCCAGGCACCCTAGAGGCCATCACCTTTCTCACCTGAATATATATTAGAATATTTAAACCACATAACGAGAAGTTTGTCATGTGATAAAATATATTTTTAACACGAGGCAGCAAACCACGAGGCAAACCACGACTCTCAAAGTTCCTGAAGTTGAATCCTTGATCAGTGATTTGTGGTAAATTCCACACCATCAAGCCTAATAACGGCTCTCTTTGAGATGGAAGCGGATAAAAATCGTTCAATAAAGTGAAACACTTTCCTCAATCCTTGTGCAAGAGATGTGTTATATTTAAGATGAATATAAATGACAAGTAGAAGTATATAGGACATATTATTCAATTGAAAACATATTATTCAATTAAGTTTTAATTTAGGCCGTTCTCTGTTAAGCATGAACGTAAATCTTTTGATGTTTGTATTAAAATTATGCAATTATTATGTTTCCCTTAACAATGTTGGATAATGATGATTATGAACGTTAATTGAAACTCGGCCGATGATATTTATTACTGAGATGTAGAAGTCAAGGAGAAATTTGTAATCCGTTCATAAATCGTAAAGTGTTAATAGATCAAAAGTGGGTGTATTGTACACACTGTAAAGTCTTCAGTCTTTGAACTTAAAACTAACGACAAACCGTGATCTGATTATACAAAAATGTTAAAATCAAGATTGATATTGGCGGACTTCAGTGACCTTTGTGGTGATATTTTTAGACCAACTCCAAATTTGTTGACCATATTTTTATAGTTGTTTTTATTTCGTCTAGTGAGTGAATTAAAGGAGGTATTTTATACGACTCTCGCCGCAGCAGAGAGAATAGTGACTTATGAACGGGGCTGTTCCTGGGGAAACGAAGCCGCTAGTCGTTACACCGTTAGGTTTGACATGTGGTCATTTTTCATTGGTCGTACGTGGAAGTTTGTGGATGTCACGTGTCAAAACTAGCACGTGGAAGTTTGTGGATGTCACGTGTCAAAACTAACGCGCGCAACTTTCCTACGGAAAGCTACGTCCATAATGTAAGATTTGTTTAGTTTTGGCCATTTTCTATTAAAATCCGTGAAATACTGATCTAGTTTATAGAAGTTTTGATAATTAACTAATTAACGTGCTTTTTAATTACGATACTGGTTTATTACGAGGCCCAATTGATGCTAATTTTAATGTAATAGCAAAGCGATCTCGGCTTACTTATAGAGATGGGAGGTATGATATGAAGTCATGAACACTGAAAAATAGAGATAATGGGAACAATTAATATTGAAGGGAAAAGAAGGAAGGGTTTATTTTGGCTGTTTTCTAACAGTGACTAGTTAATGTAATAATAACTTAGAAATCAGTCATTTACTTAATAGCTCTGATGATATTTTGACAGATCCTAGAATTAGAAATTTAATGCGAGTTTTTATACTATTGCCATTCTCCAGTTGTTAGTTATTTTATGAGAGCCGACAGATTTAACTGAATCTTCTCGTTTTATGATCTAATTCTAAAGCCCCGAAACTATTCTGTTACCGTCACATAGTATTATCAATCAAGCAAGTTAGGCAAAAAGGACCAATTTTGGCTTGTCTCTGTATGCAAGTTTCAATCTTACCATAACTATAATCCCAATTTTAATCAGAAAGAACTTTGATCTCGGTCTAAGTGCAAAAATCAGACTCGGACTGATAAAACATAGTTCCTTACATTACAATCTGATGATTAATGGAAAGGCGGTTTTGAGACAAGTCGAAATTGAAACCTTGTCGCACACAGATTCTTGTGGCACAATTCTTGAATATTTTATACGTGAACATTTAGCTGGTTCAAAGAAAACTGCAAATTGCCAGAAGTTGTAAAGATTAGCAAGCTTCTCGATTTCAATTATCATAACTCGTTTATATAGTCCCATGATAGTCAAATGATAATGTTGAATTTCTTGTTTGTTATTATTAGCTTGACGTAATTTAAATTGATCATTAACTTAAAAACTTGTTTAATTTGTGAGAACCTTTTGTCGAAGATGAAGTCCAAAAGATTTGATCTGGAAAATGCAAAAAGCACAATTTTGGAGTTCACCTCGCATCTTACCTACTCCTAGTACTAGTAGCTTGCTAGTCTCTTACTAATTCGCTCGCCTTAAAATTATCAAATGACAGTAATTTAAATTCTAAGGTAGCAAGTTAGTTGACACTTAGATAATGTTGATTGTGCATGTTAGCTTAACATAATCATAAGGAAATAGTCTAGTGCGCCATCGACAGTGGGCCGCGCGTGCCGACTGTAGGATGATTTTTTAGCGCTAATTTCGGCCAGCACAAAATTCTTGAATAAAATGCATATTGAGTAACCTTCCCTCGATTCAATTGTAACAAAAATTGGTTAGCATACTGATAGACTTACAAGGAAACTGTCCGAAAAAGGCATATCCAATCATCAAACATTATATTACACGTACAGCTCAAAGCAACGTCGCTTTTGCCCCATTTTCATCGTGGCTACACCAACTCCGATATCCACCAAGTTTTTCGGACAGTTTTGAAAGTCTGATTGATTCGATTGGAAGGTCTTTACAAATTTTCAGAATGATCTCATTCCAGGAACCGAATTGAAGATATGACAAATAATAATCGGAATCCTTGCTACACGTTGTATACCTCTCGTGCACGCCGGCCGGCGCGATAAATTTTAAAAGGGGTTAAAGCGTGTGTCAAAATAATCTGACGATAATCAACGAATTTCGTCAAATTACGCGACAACTATACTTGCTGAAGCTCCAAAAGCCACGCATCATCAAATATGGCACCTAGTAGGCGGAACTAAATGATCAGATTGGTCCATGGCACAGTGGTTGATGATTTGTTGTAAGCACTAAGCTGTAAGTATAGACATACTCATAGTTGTGATGGAGACACTCATCTCATATAACAATGCATAACAATTTAACTCGATCCAAATAAAAAAAGCTTCGTTCACGTTCCTAGTCCTGACACAAGAGTCATGGATCGGGAAACAATTTATATTACAATAAATATAATAAGTATTCTGAAAAAACATACAATGAATATCAATAATTAGTATTACTGAAATTGAATCGCAGTCTCTTTCTTTTATTTATTTTTTATTAAAACATTAAAAGTTGTCTGAAATATTAAAATTTTAAATATCAAAAGTCTAATTATAGATTATAAATTTACAGATTCGTCCGAGTTTTTGAGTTTTTATTTTTTCTATCACATCCCGCGATAAAACACCGTGTTAAAATAGTGTTTTGTACCGTAGAACCATTCCAGTCCACAACAATTTTAGATGCTCATATTCACAGCAAACAGGAGAACGACGAGGAAAATTAAGCTAATTTTCAGGGCTGCTGCGTCAGAGTAGTTCTGGTTATCTTCCTGTTCGCTTTCATCTCTTCTGAAGGGGGAATTTAATTTAGTAAAAGATACCTTGTCATACGTTGTATGACCCGCCGCGCACGAGTGCGCGGCTCCCCCTGTATCGTAGAAACTCTACGTTTTGGAAAGATATCGGCATGATCTATTTTATAAATATATGGCTCTGACTAATTATTGCAAGATCACGAACAGACACAAATCTTATATTTATATTTAGGAACTATGTCTATAAGTGTAAACAAGTAATTACAACTATTCGATTATCCTAGTTCGCTTAACTGTTAACTCCCCTACTATACGTTAAACTGTTAATTTGTCCTTCAATTTCAAAAAATTAATTAAATGGGTAAAATAAAATCGAATGCAACCGACAAAATACTGGCACTGCAAAATTAATATTCATCATCCTGATGGACGATTCTTTATTTCTTCTATTCATAGAATGATATAATAAAGTTTTTAGGACACAGAAGAAAATAGGTATTAAATTAAAGTTAAACAAATCTTGGCTTATAACCGTCGAATCCCTGCTCTTTGACCAATGATGTTTTATGATTTTTAGATTGATCTAATTAGTAATCTACTACATTTCAGGATAAGGAATACTATACCGTTAACTTAAACTATAGGCAGCTATAGTTAACACTTAACAGATTCACAAAAATGTAAACTTGTATTTGTACTTGTAAGTGTAACATCATAGTGCATAACAACAATAAAGTTTATGTGTTGACTCAGTTACAGAATCGATGGGATTTCTCCTAAAATTGCTTGGAATTTGCCCTAATAAGATTCCAGTCAGGTCCGGTCCAGGAACCCCAGTCATTATTCTAATTTGATCATCCAATCCAGCCAACATTCGAATTTTTTGAGTAATTTTAACAAAGTGGCGTAATAGTGAAACTGATTCAATTATAGATCAAATGTTTCTTGTTACATTTTTCTAGTCCACATTTCTCGCATCTTGTTGTGGGCTTAGAGAGCCGTTTATTTGGGTTCTCTTTGCCCCACTACTTACCACTAGTAAGTGCAATTGCAAATGTCTCGTTTAGTCGCCGTACCTTCTTCCAGTTTTCAAGGGCATTTTTATGCCTGAAATGAGCGCTTAGCTCCCATCGCAGATGCTTAGATATCTTGTACTAAGTGCATCAGTCGCTACTCGCGAGAGTGTAAAAATGGGGTCTGACCTAATAACTCAACAACCTGAAGTCTGTAGACTTTAAAACCATCCTATTCCCCACTCAATGTGATGATTTTGACCATTTTTATGCCCAAGATGAGCGCTTAGCTCCCATCAGAAGCTGAAATATCTTGTGATAAGTACATTAATTGCGATTCGCGAGAGCGTAAAATTAGGTCTTGAACTATAATAACTCAACAACCTGAAGTCTGTAGGCTTTAAAACTATGCTCTATCTAGTATCTACCCTACTCAATGTGATGATTCTGACCATTTTTATGCCCAAGATGAGCGCTAAACTCAGAAGCTGAGATATCCTGAAATAGGTGTGATAATTGTTACTCGTGAGACTGCTAAAAGGCGCGGTCACATGCATAACTCATCAATCTTAAGTGTGAGGACTTTAAAACCATGTTTTACCCCCTTAAAGTTAAATGTGATGATTCTGACTATTTTCATACCCAAGTTGATCTTCTATCTGCAATCAGAAGTGGAGATATGTGGGTTTAGTGTTCGCGAAAGTGCCAAACAAGGGCGTGGTCAATTGCTCAAAACTGCCCCATATTCAAAAATTCTACCGAGCCAAATTTGTTTCTATCTAACTCTAAGGGGTCCCTTGAGCCGTTCCAGGTCTCAAATCTTGGGACGGAAGACTTTTTTTTTCAACACCTCGTTGACCCAATCAATGTCTGGAAGGCTGCAAATTTTCACTTGCCAAACTCACAAGATTCTTAAAGAGTTGTGCGATAAGGGTGGTAGTTAGTGTCCAATTAGCGCTGATGTTTATTGAATATTTATTGCCGAGTACAGCTGCCTTTGGGTAGTTCTTCTTAATCTATTACAATTGTAAATAAATGGGAAAAGCGAGCGACCGATTTCATTTTCGATATAATTTTGCATTTGCAGACGGTCAATCAAATTAAAATCATTTCCTTTTGTTTGGGGAAGAGAGACACTGGCAGCGGTCCACTCTACCCAATTGTGGGTTTTGGTCAAATATTATCTCTTTTTGATTAATGACAGGGTACTTTATAAAGTCGAAATATAAACTGATATCTTCATTAATAAGAATTTCGAATTTTTTCCTTTGAAAACAATTTCTTGTGTTTAGGTAAGCATATCGGTCGATTACTGACTGAACATGCCACATTATACTCATTCAAGTTGGCACTAAATTCATATTGGTACTTGTTTAAAACGTTGCTATTTTTTGTCTCCGTTATCTTTAATAGCTTATCAGCTCGGTATATTGATGCATACTGTGGCGGTTTGTGTACATATTGGAAATAGTACATATTATCGAGTACATTTGAAGAATAAGACGTGTACATTTGAAGAATAAGACGTGTCAACTGTCAATTTTTGTCAATATGGACACAGAGATTCAGATTAAATCTGCGATTGGGGGCCTGCTTCTCCGGGCAGAGTCTAATGTACTAGTTAAACGTGTCCTTACTGCATTTGACCCATTTGCTAAGCGTCGCGTAGTACCGTCAACTACAAACAACTGAATCAGTTCAATCTTGATATGCTGGAGCCATGTGCAGAGTTTCTCAGTATTAACCTTACAGACGTATATAAAAATAAACTGTACACCAAGGAGTCATTGGTATACCGCATCATGTTTGTTATCTCTTAGTTAGGGCAAGAATTGCTGTTTATGGGTCAATCTGTGAACAAATTCGTAACAAAGGTTTGTCTACAGGAATGTGTTGTTCATAGTCCCAGGAACCACCAAAAAAAAACCGTCCAGCTGAAACTTTTGGGCAAAAATTTTTATAGTCATTTTTCTCCAGGAACCCATACGCCCCACCCCTAATATTGGTTATTCGGCTCCCGAAGGTCTTGGGGTCTCCATAGGGGGTGCAAAATAACCGCAATGGCCACATTATGACAAGCGAATGATAGTTTCAGAACGATTGGAGCTTTATTTTTCGAAATAAATGGAATTTTTCGAAATTTTTCTCAATTTTATTGAAATTTCGAAAAAAATACACCAAATTATTTTTAACGCTTATTTCAAATCTATTTAAAAACTCATCTACAAATAACAAATACAGTTCATCTAAAATATGTATTCTCAGTAAATACCATGACAATTATTAATACACAGTTAATATTAATCAAAATTCGCTTGTTCTTCAGGTTCATCATGTCTAATGTTTGTGCAGTTCATACCATGGCATTGTCCACAAGCTGGCAAACAATTGAAGCCATATTTCCTACATGAACATCTGAAAGTCAAACAGGCCTGTTCCACAACGACAGAACAGTTACAACATATAAGGTTCAAAATAGACTCTGGAGCAATTATAGCTTTTGTTGCAACTGGTTCGTAAGTGCCACCAGGAGCCAATTTCCAGCCGTAGTCAAGGGGATTCAGACGGTCAGCGTTAAGCATGACCCAGTTATGGTACTGTAAGTAAGCTCTAAGGATGTGCTCCGTTGCTGAAGCTATTGTTGGAGGTAGCCTATTCGGATTGAGACTCTTTTTCGCTACCATCCTATTGTATGCTAGGAATCTCAAAGCAGAAAGAGTCTTTTTCTTGTCACCATAAATTTACTGCAAGAAACAGAGGCCTGCCTCAATAATCTTTTCTTTTGATTCTCTCACCGAAAGTAATGTTGCCAACTGACCTTGCTCATCAAAGGTGAGAGCTTTCTTAAGCACTTTAACCTTGCTAAAACCAAACAGTCCACTGACGCTATCACAACCTGAAATACTATGAATTAGAAGAAGTATCTCCTTTTCTTTATGATCTAGATGACTTGATATTTCTTTGATTGAATATGTACCCTTCTTCGTTGTTAGATAAATATCATTGCGATGGTCACTGTTTAAATGATGTACTAATAGACTTGAACTATATCGGTATCCTCTGCCTTGAATTCAACATCGCCAAGGAATGACATTTCCAATGTTTTCTTTGCAATTAAAGTATCAGCATCGTTACAAGCTCTGATCACTTCAATACCATTTACAGTAAAAATGCTTAAGATAAGGTCGCGGTCGATCAGTTCTTTTTTGTTATTGTTGTTGCTCAGAAATGTTGATATCTGGATATTATCCGGTTGGAAGAGACAAGGACTTGTCTCTTCCAACCGGATAATATCCAGATATCAGTATTTCAATCATGAGACTAATAAACAGCGAACTACTCCGTTATTTGATATCTCAGAAATGTTGTTTTGGTGACAGTACAAAAGGTGGATTTCTTTACAGCAATATTAGCACAGAACGCTTTTACTCTCCTCTTGTGATCGTGATCTTTAGTAGAAGGCTCATATCCATCAAAAATCACAGTAACTTCCCGATTTTTAGGGATAAGCTTCAAGTACTCCATTGCTACCTCACCATAATTGTCACACCCTTTAGATGAGCTTAGTTGGTGAATTAGCCAACCTCCATCAATGACTAGTGGGATCGTGAAGCTGCAAGATTTAAGTGTAGATTGGTTTATACCAAGAGCAGCCTTATTAGATTTCCTCATCATCTGATATTGATCAAATAAGCTCATCGGCACCACAGTTAACTCGTATGTTAGGCATTCCTTTATTGAAGTCTCTCTATCAGCAACCAAGACTAGACGGTTAAAACACTTCAACGGATCGACTGCAACGCTTTTATTATTCACTTTAACCTGCTTTCTTAGTTGTGTCAAGTTTTTTGCTTTACCTTTGATACTTATCTTATCTATGAATGTCAACCCATCTAGCTCATGTTGAAGGACAGCCCCAACGGCCAAACATTCCTCGGGATTCACCTCATCGTTCCCAGGCTGTGATATAAGACCAGTCGAAAAAGATATTAACTTAGTCTTATCTTCGGATTCTGTAAAGTCGACAGTAACTTTAAACCAAGTTAATAATTTTCCAAATACATCACAGTTTTTCTTGATTGATGACTTGGTAAGATCTGAGTGGATGGCAGCTTTAGTTGGTACCCCTCGCTTCGATGAATTAGCTAATGAATCTCCAAAAGACTGATTTATTAAAGCCATCTGATTCAGGGTGGCCATCCATAACTTGTAAGCGGACTCACGATTACGCATCCTTCCACTTGTTAATCCACCACTAGATTTAGCTGCCCTCATAAGACTCTGCTCTATGGAGAGGTCAGTCCACACCCCGGCCCACTCGTGGTCGTTGTAACAAACCGTGTGAAGCCCAGTTACTTTAAAGGTCTTTAAAAGCACCCCATACTTGACTTTAAAAATAGCATCCTGTTCCAAATACAGTCTTAAAGCTTTTGCATACTGTCCCCTCCCAGCTGCTGCGAAGTAGGGCAGCATCAAAGCTACTGCTGATAAATGCATATTGTAGTCGTGCAACCTCTCTGCTCTTATGAAGTTCTTTACTAGTGTTATCATGTTGTGGTAAGTAACCCATAGAGCTGCTGTTCTACTGTTGGAAAACAGGTTCTTTTGAAGCAGAGTTATTTTCTCTGATAGATCCTGAATAGATTTAGTCTTAAAGTTAACATCTAGATTTTCGTTCACACATTTGTTGATGTAACCTTCCAAGTCTACCAGTTCATCGTCGTAAACTTCTTCCTCTATAATGAAACAACAAAGAGCGGCGTCGATCAGAAAGTGGGCTCTCAACGCTTTATAGTAAGATCCTCCATCCGATATATGCGTGACGTCTCCAGGATACACGAGTTTGATGAGCTCCTCTAAACCAGAGTCTGCCATTATATAGCCTATGCAGCCAAGAAAACTCGTGAGAGTGTGGAAACCCCCAACCCTGACCACAATAGGCATCCCAGTTTCCAGTACTATTCGGGTGACCTTAATCCACAATGGCAAATCGAATGTGATTATCATCGGCTCACTGTAGGATAACTTAAGACATTCAACCAGAGTAGTATGTACCGTCGAATAGCTGTCTGGGGGTTGGTCAATAATCTGTTGTTTGTTAGTTAACCTTGATATTTGTTAATTGAAGTTATTTCCCGAGTAAGATTTGAAATAAGCGTGAAAAATAATTTGGTGTATTTTTTTCGAAATTTCAATAAAATTGAGAAAAATTTCGAAAAATTCCATTTATTTCGAAAAATAAAGCCCCAATCGTTCTGAAACTATCATTCGCCTGCCATAATGTGGCCATTGCGGTCATTTTGCACCCCCTATGGAGATCTCAAGACCTTCGGGAGCCGAATAACCAATATTAGGGGTGGGGCGTATGGGTTCCTGGAGAAAAATTACTATAAAAATTTTTGCCCAAAAGTTTCAGCTGGACGGTTTTTTTTGGTGGTTCCTGGGACTATGGACAACACATTCCAGTAGACAAACCTTTGTTACGAATTTGTTCACAGAAAAATCAACTCTTGCCCTAACTATCTTCACTTCTCTGTCTTCTTCCAACCTCCTGTGGTGACTGCAACGAATCGTATGTTGTTGAATGTGATGCTGAAGAGCCACCCTTATTCGTTTGCTACACATACATGCACATCTTTCTTTCTTTCTTTCTGTCGGACCGTCATCAACATTTTTTCTGAACGGGGTGTCTTCCTTCGCAGCCTTGGTTATCAGTGATGTCCCCCAAGGAATCGTTCTTGGACCCCTCCTTTTTATACTCTTCATAAATGACATGAAGCTTTGTGTGACTGGTTCAATTATAAGATTCTTTGCTGATGACACTCGTATACTGAAGCACATATATACAGAACATGATGTTATCGTTCTTCAGCAAGATCTCAACCATATCATTAAGCTTGGGCCAAACGTAATAACATGGTTTCACATGAGGATAAGTTTGAGCTCCTAGTTCACCGGGGGAGTCCTAATGAGAGTCTGTATGAGCTGCCTTTTGTATGTCAAACACAAACATACAAGGTGTATAAGGCGGTAATATGCTTTACACAGGAGGAGCAAAGTGCAAAGAAACTGCCACAAACTGCTACAAACTGCTACTAACTGCTACAAACTGGCACTAACTGCCACAAACTGCTACTAACTGCTACAAACTGGCACTAACTGCCACAAACTGCTATTAATTGCTACAAATTTTTATAAGAAAGTGTAAATCTAAAAACAAAATATAAGATAAACTTTTTATGCTAACGGTTTATTACATAACTGACAATGATTCAAAATTCTAAAAATAAAGAAAGCGTTTAACGTTTAATTCAGTTTCTTATTTCAATCACGGCATTCGAAATGATGTTGCAATAAGCCTCATTAAAATATAAAGGAGTTCCTTCTTGAAAAAATAACTCCAAGGTTTTAAAGATTCTGGCCAGTTGGTAGATCACCGACCGGCTATAAGCCGGCTACTAACCGGCTATAAGCCGGCTTATAGCCGGCTACAATTTTTATAGCCGGCTATAAGCCGGCTTATAGCCGGTTAGTAGCCGCTTACATTTGTTGTTGAGCGACGGCTATTAGCCGGTTATAAGCCTGCTATTAGCCGTTTTGGTATTAAAAGTGGCTATAAGCCGGTTATAAGATATTAACTCAACTACATCGTACTGAACGATAATCAGGAGCCGGCTATAAGAAATTCAGTGAAAACGTCTATTAGCCGGTTATAAGCCGGCTATTAGCCGTTTAGGTATCGAAAGTGGTTATAAGCCGGCTATAAGCCGGCTATAAGCCGGTTATAAGATATTAACTCAGTTCAGTACGATGAAGTTAAGTTAATATCTTATAGCCGGCTTATAGCCGGCTTATAACCACTTTCGATACCTAAACGGCTAATAGCCGGCTTATAACCGGCTAATAGCCGTTTTCGCTGAATTTCTTATAGCCAGCTCCTGACTATCGTTCAGTACGATGAAGTTGAGTTAATATCTTATAACCGGCTTATAGCCGGCTTATAACCACTTTCTATACCTAAACGGCTAATAGCCGGCTTATAACCGGCTAATAGCCGTTTTCACTGAATTTCTTATAGCCGATACCTAAACGGCTAATAGCCGGCTTATAACCGGCTAATAGCCGTCGCTCAACAACAAATGTAAGCGGCTACTAACCGGCTATAAGCCGGCTTATAGCCGGCTATAAAAATTGTAGCCGGCTATAAGCCGGTTTATAGCCGGCTTATAACCGGCTTATAGCCGGTCGGTGATCTACCAATTTCCCAAGATTCTTTGCTCAGTCAGAGCTAGTCGCATGTTTTCCGTGATTTCGATCGAGTTGAGATTCTGAAAGACATAGGAATTGGCTACTTTGTCAATTTTAATTAAGTAAATATATTGATTACATAATTTTTAACCTTCAAGGCTAAAAGAAAAATGGTCAATGGAATCGGTCAATAACATCTATACAATATTTTAAACTTGACGAAATTTCCCCGGCAACGGGGACATAGAAGAAAAAACACCGAAAATCGACCTCAAAATGACCCTCTGGTGAAGCCAAACCCAGCTCGCAAATGGAGTTGAAACCTCGCCATTTTTAGCAGGGTTGTAGAAAAAGGATAGGAATAGGCTATAGCATTCTTAGAATTTTGATTTAGGCTTTAGATTTTTTATAATTAACGTCGGAAGTGAGGTTAAATAATCGTTAGAATAATGGCGTTATTTTAGCAAAGGTTTACTGCGCTGTTGCGTAGCAACGATAAAAATGCACGTGCACGAGCAAGAACATCTTAACTACGCGCGTTGTTATGCTGTATGCAACGTCATAACTTCAAAACTAGCTCACATTTACGCTCACGCTATGTAATGACTTATATTCATAACTTTGGTTGTGATTGGTATTTTTTGATGCGGTAAAAAGTATCGTTTTGGGAATCCGAATACTAACAACGCTGTCGTCATTGTTAAATAAATTCCATTATGTCTACTGTATAACAGAGCTGTATGATGAAGAGAAATTAAAACATAACTGATTTTTAAAATTTCCTCGAACAAAGCTTTCGACTAGCGGGTTTCTAGTACCTTATAAACGAAGGACGGCCATAAGAAGAGGAACTGCGGCGATAGACATGCTAAGTGCACTACTGTCATCATCAGCAGCATCATCTCCTGCAGCAGCATAATCTCCTGCAGCAGCATCATCTCCTGCAGCAGCATCATCTCCTGCAGCAGCATCATCTCCTGCAGCAGCATCATCTCCTGCAGCAGCATCATCTCCTGCAGCAGCATCATCTCCTGCAGCAGCATCATCTCCTGCAGCAGCATCATCTCCTGCAGCAGCATCATCTCCTGCAGCAGCATCTTCAGAGCCTGAAATCATGTCATCATGTCAGTTCTATGGCATGAGGCATCCCGGGCTAGAAAAGTTGCAGCCTGGGTGCTCAGTGCGTTCAAGTGCAGAAATAGAATCACAATGTTGACACTTAACAAGTCACTTGTCCGAAGTCATTTAGAGTACTGCTGCCGTCTGTGGAATACCAGTAAAATCTCATTCTCAGACATCCAACAGATAGTACAGCGTACTTTCACCTCAAGAATTTGGGGTGTTCAACATCTTAAGTAGAAGTGAAGAGATACCAAACATGATGCGGTATACCAATGACTCCTTGGTGTACAGTTTATTTTTATATACGTCTGCAAGGTTAATACTGAGAAACTCTGCACATGGCTCCAGCATATCAAGATTGAACTGATTCAGTTGGTTGTAGTTGACGGTACTACGCTTAGCAAATGGGTCAAATGCAGTAAGGACACGTTTAACTAGTACATTAGACTCTGCCCGGAGAAGCAGGCCCCCAATCGCAGATTTAATCTGAATCTCTGTGTCCATATTGACAAAAATTGACAGTTGACACGTCTTATTCTTCAAATGTACACGTCTTATTCTTCAAATGTACTCGATAATATGTACTATTTCCAATATGTACACAAACCGCCACAGTATGCATCAATATACCGAGCTGATAAGCTATTAAAGATAACGGAGACAAAAAATAGCAACGTTTTAAACAAGTACCAATATGAATTTAGTGCCAACTTGAATGAGTATAATGTGGCATGTTCAGTCGGTAATCGACCGATAGGCTTACCTAAACACAAGAAATTGTTTTCAAAGGAAAAAATTCGAAATTCTTATTAATGAAGATATCAGTTTATATTTCGACTTTATAAAGTACCCTGTCATTATTCAAAAAGAGATAATATTTGACCAAAACCCACAATGGGTTGAGTGGACCGCTGCCAGTGTCTCTCTTCCCCAAACAAAAGGAAATGATATTAATTTGATTGACCGTCTGCAAATGCAAAATTATATCGAAAATGAAATCGGTCGCTCGCTTTTCCCATTTATTTACAATTGTAATAGATTAAGAAGAACTACCCAAAGGCAGCTGTACTCGGCAATAAATATTCAATAAACATCAGCGCTAATTGGACACTAACTACCACCCTTATCGCACAACTCTTTAAGAATCTTGTGAGTTTGGCAAGTGAAAATTTGCAGCCTTCCAGACATTGATTGGGTCAACGAGGTGTTGAAAAAAAAAGTCTTCCGTCCCAAGATTTGAGACCTGGAACGGCTCAAGGGACCCCTTAGATAGAAACAAATTTGGCTCGGTAGAATTTTTGAATATGGGGCAGTTTTGAGAAATTGACCACTCCCTTGTTTGGCACTTTCGCGAACACTAAACCCACATATCTCCTTATCTCCACTTCTGATTGCAGAAAGGAGATCAACTTGGGTATGAAAATAGTCAGAATCATCACATTTAACTTTAAGAGGGTAGAACATGGTTGCCTGAAATCTTTTACTTTAATTTGCTGTGATTGTTGGAAACTGAAGCTTCGTGATAAACGCCCGCTTGTGGATATAATACTATAATACATATCAGACTCGCCTCGAGGGCGGAATTTCGTATAGCACTCGGGCCCAACGGGCCCTCCGGGCTATTATGCTGCAGGCGCCCTCGAGGACATATAATATATCGCACACGCGATAAATAAGTTAAGTTTATAGATACTCAACCTGAGCAGTTTGTTTCGTCTGATCCATCATTACAATCTACTCCTCCATCACATAAATAGCCAGCGTCGATACATTGCTCACCGTCCGAGCACTTTACATATCCTTCTCCGCACTCTCTCTCTGGAGAGTAGTTGATTATTTTTGATTATTGGATGCTATATTATATATCATAATTACAGAATAATATACTTTTGTGAACTATGAGGGCTTCTATTTTGGTCAGGAAGTCAACACCCCTATCAGTCGGTATGATGGGAATACTAATAGTGAAAAGTTAAATGTAGCAAGAGAGATCAGTCAGCACTCTCACTCCACATCTATGAAAGGAATTTTGAATATTTTGATCAGTAACTGGAATACGTCCGATTTGGTGTAGCTAAGCAGGCGTATAACTTACGTCAACTAAATAAAGAATAATATTATTTGACTATTATCCAGATAATTGAAATTTTTTTAAAAGGTACTGTCTACGTCCCAAAATCTGACGGAGACTTTAGTCCGTTATCATTAGGTTACATATGTTTTAAATTGGTAAATAAGTTAAGTTTATAGATACTCAACCTGAGCAGTTTATTTCGTCTGACCCATCATCACAATCACGATATTGTTCACATACAGTATAAGCGCGGATACATTGCTCACCGTCCGAGCACAACGAAAATCCTTCTTCACACTCTTTCTCTGGAGCAGGGGTAATTACGTCAACTAAATAAAGTATAATACAGGGGGGGGGGGGGCAAAAGTCAGTACCCAAACGTTGGATTTTATACCACCGCCGTGTTTTATATTTGAGAGTTGTTGCTTTGCAGATGGCATACTGTACCTACTTGTTCGAGGATTCCGTCACCAAAATTTGAAAAAAAATCTCCCTCTCCCTCTCCCTCTCCCTCTCCCTCTCCCTCTCCCTCTCCCTCTCCCTCTCCCTCTCCCTCCCTAATGAATAGATCATCTCCAATTTCTCCTTTTCGCCAATATCTATAAAATTGTGTTAACTTTAGAAAAATATAAAAGAATAAACATGGTTTCAATTATATTAAGTACTCCCTCTCCCTCTCCCTCTCCCTCTCCCTCTCCCTCTCCCTCTCCCTCTCCCTCTCCCTCTCCTCTCCCTCTCCCTCTCCCTCTCCCTCTCCCTCTCCCTCTCCCTCTCCCTCTCCCTCTCTCTCTCCCTCTCCCTCTCCTCTCCCTCTCCCTCTCCCTCTCCCTCTCCCTCTCCCTCTCCCTCTCCCTCTCCCTCTCCCTCTCCCTCTCCCTCTCCCTCTCCCTCTCCCTCTCCCTCTCCCTCTCCCTCTCCCTCTCCCTCTCCCTCTCCCTCTCCCTCTCCCTCTCCCTCTCCCTCTCCCTCTCCCTCTCCCTCTCCCTCTCCCTCTCCCTCTCCCTCTCCCTCTCCCTCTCCCTCTCCCTCTCCCTCTCCCTCTCCCTCTCCCTCTCCCTCTCCCTCTCCCTCTCCCTCTCCCTCTCCCTCTCCCTCTCCCTCTCCCTCTCCCTCTCCCTCTCCCTCTCCCTCTCCCTCTCCCTCTCCCTCTCCCTCTCCCTCTCCCTCTCCCTCTCCCTCTCCCTCTCCCTCTCCCTCTCCCTCTCCCTCTCCCTCTCCCTCTCCCTCTCCCTCTCCCTCTCCCTCTCCCTCTCCCTCTCCCTCTCCCTCTCCCTCTCCCTCTCCCTCTCCCTCTCCCTCTCCCTCTCCCTCTCCCTCTCCCTCTCCCTCTCCCTCTCCCTCTCCCTCTCCCTCTCCCTCTCCCTCTCCCTCTCCCTCTCCCTCTCCCTCTCCCTCTCCCTCTCCCTCTCCCTCTCCCTCTCCCTCTCCCTCTCCCTCTCCCTCTCCCTCTCCCTCTCCCTCTCCCTCTCCCTCTCCCTCTCCCTCTCCCTCTCCCTCTCCCTCTCCCTCTCCCTCTCCCTCTCCCTCTCCCTCTCCCTCTCCCTCTCCCTCTCCCTCTCCCTCTCCCTCTCCCTCTCCCTCTCCCTCTCCCTCTCCCTCTCCCTCTCCCTCTCCCTCTCCCTCTCCCTCTCCCTCTCCCTCTCCCTCTCCCTCTCCCTCTCCCTCTCCCTCTCCCTCTCCCTCTCCCTCTCCCTCTCCCTCTCCCTCTCCCTCTCCCTCTCCCTCTCCCTCTCCCTCTCCCTCTCCCTCTCCCTCTCCCTCTCCCTCTCCCTCTCCCTCTCCCTCTCCCTCTCCCTCTCCCTCTCCCTCTCCCTCTCCCTGGTTCCGGTGTCTTGGAATGTTGAAGAAGTTGAATAGATGGTAGATCCCCGACATCTTAATTCAATTGACACGTTCGAACAGAACAAATTTTGATTTGTGTCATGTAATTACGGGAAACTGCTCGTCCAAAAGTTTGCAAGCGCAAACTTGCAAGGATAAGCCTAGCCGACAGAAGAAGCAGAAGGGTGTTTTATCTTAGTTGGAAATGGAAGCATGTAGAAGAAAATAAATTGTAATCCTAATAGTGCATGTCCTATCGACATCGTCACGTTCACATAACGAGAACTAATTTTAAAGAGGGGGGGGGGGGGGGGGGGGGGGGGGGGGGGGGGGGGCAATGGGTATTTTTTTTGGCGGGGTCCCAGACACCAACCGCCAAACAGTGCCCGCGGGCAGCCACGCCCATATTTGGTCCAAATTAGGCCCAATTTGATATCGATGATTTGATATCGATGATAATTTTCGAAAATTATCGCGATAATCAATCAATTTTTCTTAGGGGAAAATAGCCTAAATTTATCATATTTTTCTAATCTGTTTCTTTGTTTGTCATGTTTAACCCGACTGCTAGCATAATTTTCAGTGTGATGGTATGCTGACGTGCTATGTAGTGTGTAGTGTTTATGAATTCACGACAGTGAAAATTGTAATGTCGTGTTATATTAATAAAACAAATATTTAATAAAACAAATATTTATTTTTACGGCACAATCAAACAATATCAATAATAAATAAATCAGGGGAGGTTTGAAGAGGTTTGAAGTGCCGAAGGCCACTGCTTATCTTTAGGATTTGAGAGTGACCTGTGCTTGAAACCCCCTCAACCATCCACTACGTCAATAAACTTATTATACAAATATAGAAAAATATAATTATCTAAAATTGCTTATTGGTCTAGTTTGGTGACATAGGAGAGCCCAGTTGAGTTTTAGTTTAGGTTTAGGTTTTAAATCATAGTTTAAAAGGTTAGCCATGTTTCATGGTAGAGAGAGATATCATGTGTGCAGAGCCGTACCGGATGTAGAATTTGAGATATAATATAGATCACAGTGCTGGCAAGCACGACCGGTGCATTTATTGTGGGTATACTATGTACCCCCTTTACTATTATACCCCCTTTACTATTATACCCCCTTTACTATTATACCCCCTTTGGTACACGTTACAAGCCTCTTTCGTGCACGCGAAGCGTGCATTCCGGCCGGAGGCGGCGGCCGAAGGCCGTCGCCTCCGGCAGGAGTTTTTCAGGCATTAAGACTCATCGGAAGTCGTTCAGCAGATTTATTTTTAGTTCAAAACATTCTAATTTGATGTCAAAGATGACAGGAATAAAAAATAGTTGTGTTGAGATTTTTAAGAAATTTGCATAAAATACTCGCCAGCACTGTTATACGAAATTCGGTAAAAAACCCAAAATCGCCATATTCAGGTGCCTTAAAAATCATGTTAAAATCGAGTTAGAGATCTGAAATTTTTCAGGGCGTCTAGACGTTGACCAAATCGACTGCAAAAAAAGTTTCAGGTTTCAGGAACATCGGGAAGTGGGTTTTCTAGAACTCCTGTTTTACGACAGATTGTCGTGATATCTATCTATATATATACATATATAAATAGTTGTTGTTTGGTTTCCCAAAGAGAGTGCTCGACTGCAGTTAAGCAGGAGCATTATAATTCGAACAATTGAAACAAATCAAATTGGCGGGCAAACGATCCGTTTCATGATATGTATAAAAACAATACCGATCATCAGTGCACTGATGATTGGTATTGTTTTTATACATATCATGAAACGGATCGTTTGCCCGCCAATTTGATTTGTTTCAATTGTTCGAATTATATACATACTAGAAAACCCGTGGTCACAGGGAGGAAGCTTATAGTATTTTTTGTTAGTAGGCTTAAATCGCGTCAAAAAATATCCTACACAACCGAAGATACAGCCAATTAAAATGTTGCTCGCACTAAACACAACGTAATATCAACAAAAACGATAAAAAATGCCGTTTTAACAATCTTTGCACGTGCACGCGCGTGTAACAACCTTCGTTACCATGGTTACTACGCAAGTTCATATTTTTCGTTTTTTTTTGCACGTGGGCGGTCGTACAAACGTACATACAGAAATAATTCTCTGAATTATAGTAGAGACTAGAAAACCCGTGGTCACAGGGAGGACGCTAATATTATTTTTTGTTAGTAAGTTTAAATCACGTAAAAAATATCCTACACAACTGAAGATACAGCCGATTAAAATGTTGCTCGCACTAAACACAACGTAATATCAACAAAACCGATAAAAAATGACGTTAAAACAATCATTGCACGTGCACGTGCGTGTAGCAATCCTTGTTACCATGGTTACTACGTAACTTCCTATTTCTCGTCTGATTTGCACGTGGGCGGTCGTACAGACAGCAGAAATAATTTTTTGAATTATAGTAGAGATATATATATATTCAGGGATAGACGCTTTGCCAGTCAATTGTAGCCTGTATTTAATTGTCCATAGATTCAAAAGTATAAAAGATACAGCCATTTCCGACCACAGGTCTTGAAAATAATTGTTTACACTTTAGTTTACATTGTATAAACAAATTATTTGACGTCATGAACACCCCTTGATGACGTCATCAAGTTAACCGTTTTTAAAACTTGATTTTTGACAAATTAATAACTTTTAAAAATGATTTTACACCATTAAAAAGTAATTGTATTCAAAATCTGAGGAAATTTTTATCTTAGATAATTGTTCAAGCATTCTGAAAATCTACCGAAAAGTTTTTCTAGCTTGCTCCTTCATAAAGATATTCGTCATTGAAGTTTGTGCTTTTTTGAAGAATTATTTTATAAAAACGTCAATTTTGCGATTTAGTATTCTCTGGTGTTGGGCCATGCCTTGGGTTGTGGAGCTCAGTTCTGCTTCCTATAGGTATAAATTGTGCATTAGGCTAGTTTTAAAGTTAAAAATCGAAAAGTTGCACACGTGGGGACACGCCCAACTTGAATGAGTATTAAGTGGCATATTCAGTCAGTGATCGACCGATATGCTTACCTAAACACAAGGAAATGTTTTTAAAGGAAAAATTTCGAAATTGTTGAAACTTCCTCCTTATTAATGAAGATATCAGTTTATATTTCGACTTTATAAAGTACCCTGACATTATAATCAAAAAGAGATGATATTTGACCAAAACCCATAATCATGGGTAGAGTGGACCGCTGCCAGTGTCTCTCTTTCCCAAACAAAAAGAAATGATATTAATTTGATTGACCGTTCTCAAATGCAAAATGATACCGAGAATGAAATCGGTCGCTCGCTTTTCCCATTCATTTACAATTGTAATAGATTAAGAAGAACTACCCAAAGGCAGCTGTACTCGGCAATAAAGATTCAATAAACTTCA